GAAGCCCATGTGGTCATTTACAATACTGCGATGGTAGAGTTTAAGAGTTGTGCTTCAATGTAGAGACAGTCCTTATGGTCTGGAGGTAAGAACACTGGGCAGTTATGGTCATGAGTGGAGAACATGTCTATCCAAAACTCACGATTGAAGCCAGTTAATTTTATAGTATTTAGGGTTAGGAAGTGGTGTAGTTCTTGTATGACCAATGAACTCATTTTCAACTCCCTTACTTAAGTTTGAATATAATATAGCTTGCTTTCTATCCCAAATGCCAGGTGTTACAATCTTTGAAAATTCATTTTTCCTCGGAAGCATTGCATCATAATTGAAAACATTCTTGAAATCATCACTTGGTTCAGAGATTTGAAATCTTATACGTAATGGATTTTTTTTCTCTTTAGCGACTTCATTGAATGGTGAGAATACAATGAATTGACAGTCATGAGTTCCATCTTCATTTTCATTTAAATTCATAATGAAAGTCTATAAGTTGTGGGCTGACTACCTTCTTCTTTCAGTTGTGGCAAGAAACTCACGCAAAGGCTGTAAAGTTTGTACTTCAATGTTGAACTTTTTCTCGAACATCTCATTAAATGAAGTCATACATTGCAACAATGTTGTATCGTCTTTAAAGTATTTGTATATGTGAATGTTTTGGGCGCTTAAAGACTGTTCGTCATTTTCTATCTCGACTTGAAGTATAAAGTCAACCTTTCTGAAAGCACGTGTTATATACATAGATGTTATGCCAATGTACTTCTCTTCATTTATGTTCACAATCCAGTCTGTTGGAAACTTAAACGTTACTCTGTTCCCTTTATTTTGACGTCAGGGTTTTCACTACTGAACGCAACAGATAAAGGTATTTGTCTATACATTTAGTTCCAATAAAAATAAACCATTTACTCTTTCTTTGCTTCAGCTTCTTTAGCTTTTGCTTCAGCTTCTTCTCTAGCTTTCTTCGCCAGCAAACGTGGGTTCTTTTGTCTTCCAGCAGCTAATGCAGCAAGTTGTTTTTCACTAAGTTTTCTCTTTGGTCTCTCTGGCTTTTGTTCTTGTTTTTGTTCCTTCAGTTCGGATAAAATTTGCTCACGAATTTCTTTCTTCAATGCTTCAACATCTATGACCCCTTGGGTCTTGTCCGTAGGGCTTGTCTGAGTCATTTGACTGCAGATAAAAAACAAAATTAAAACTTTAACCGATGTAAAATGAGCTTGTCAAAATCAGAGCGAGAGTCTATTATATTAAATGACGCAAGAGGAATACAACATCCTTTCTATTACGTAAGTCAGAGTAAAGATGGTAAAATATACGTAAGAAAAAGAAAGGTTCCATTAGCGAATGCAGAAAGCGACAACATTAAGGTGCATGGCAAGGGTGAAGTCCACGAAGCCCATATAAAACCTTCTGTTCAAAACTGAAAAGTCAATAGAACCAGAAGAAAAGAAGCCAGATGTACTTTCAATAACGAACCAAGAGCTTATTGCAAAGTTCGTGAATTTCATTGAAAAACAAACCGAGTCAAAGAACCCTGACCCACCAGTGAAAGAAGTTGAGACAAAAGAGAATGTACAGTTCATTGAAAATGTCAAGAAACAACTTCCACCACGAATGCCAAGAAGAAGAGTGAGAATAATGAAGTAAATAGATATTTTTATCTGAAGTAAATACATGCAGAACGAACAGCTAAACGAATTTACTCCAGCAGAGCATATTCATCAGATTCGCTCATATTTCGATATCATAGACAATGCAGTTCAAATTGGTGACACTAATAGAAAATATTCTGACGCAAAGATTCCATCACAACCTGGAACTGCTAAAGATAACACATGGGTAACATTCAATCTCTCACCTCCTGGTGAAAATATGTTGACCTTTACAATACATTCATTACGTATAAAATGGAAGGTCAATTTATTGTAGATAAAGAAATTGGTTCAGGTTCCAATAAAACAAACCCACCAGGATTTTGGATTGGTTTCGATGACGCTTTCTATGCAGTTGCTGGATATCAAATCCTTGCAAATGGTCGTATCGTATATTCTCAAGACAACGCAAGAGAAGAAGCATATATAACTTCAAACTCACAAACTACCGAACAAATAAAGAAAGTAGATGTTTTCTCAAAGACTCGACATGAAGATGTATGGAGTCATTCGGGAACATGCAGAACAGGACAAATTGTTAGTGGTCCAATTACAGCAGGAAAATCATTTGATTTTAAGCTTCGTTTAAGAATTCCTGTTAGAAGATTCCTTCCATTAGAAGCTATTCGATTTATTCCAGCTTTTGCAGGAAACATTCAGCTTAAAGTAAAGTTCAGTAGCGACGCCTTACAATGCACATCTATATCTGTAAATGATATCATTGCTTTCAATCCAACTCTTAAAGTTGCATTTGCTTCAGATTCAAATCCACCGACAAATAAATTTTGTTCCATGGAATGAACCATTCACTATGATAACGAAGGCAGTAGAAGCTAGTGGAACAGTTACTATTACAACTGTAACCCAGCAACTATTTCGAACAAAGATGGATTTTAATGAATGTTTCATTCATCCAAAGTCATTTTCTTTAGACCCTAACATTTATACAGAACTTGTAGAACATTATACAAACGAGGCTTTATGTTTTCCTGTTAAAGTTATGGATTGGATTCCTATGGACGGTTCATTCTCAAAGATACAGATAGTTCAAGTGCAACATTTACAGCAGCTTATACGCCTATTAATGTTAAAAGTATTTGGGCACTATTTAGAAAGAAAGACAACTATTATGTTAATTTTGAGAACCCTAAGTTTAAATATCTTCAGCTTTCCATGGGAGCTTATGGAAATATGCCTGCAGAACCTGAAAAATCATATGGACCTGTATTTTATGAAATGGTTGCGAACGCCTGCAATACAAACAATGATATGATTGGATTTAATGAAGATGTTATGAGGTCATTGGTGGATGATGGTAGTGTGGAACATAAATGGGATAGCTATGACAACACACATTTCTTATGTGGTTTTCCAACAGAAGTGGACTTTTGCTTCCAGCAAGGTCAAACATCTACTGCTCCAATAACATACAAATTGTCTGTTAAAGGACCTATTGAACTAGCAACTGAAAACGTACCAAAGCCACTTATTGGATTTATGAGGGATTGTTGCTTTGCCATACAAGTAAGACAGTCAGGCATACCAATAATAAGACTTGACGACTATAACTTAGCAGCTGACGACAGTGAGGAATAAAGGATGAACGTTTATTTTTAAAGCTTATAAATGAGTTCTTCATCAAGCTCTCGTGAACCTTCACCATCTATGAAACAAACTTTACCAAACGATTATGGAGCACCTATTGAATATTTCTTACGAGCTGCACAATGGCAAAGAGCAGTCTCACCAAGGTTAGGTGTTCCACCAGCTCCTGGCAAAAATAGCATTTGGTCAAGTCCTTATATAAAATATGGTCTCCCACTAGGTTTGCTAGCTACAGCAGGAGCAGTTATGATGTTGAAAAGAAATAAAGCAAATGTTGTAAATAATACTGAAGTAGTTGAAGTTAAACAAACTCCAACACCTTCGCCAAAACCAACGTTAAAACCAACACCTTCACAAGCAAAACCTTCAATGACTCCTGAACCTATGGAAGTACAAACTCCTATTCAAAAGTCAACTCCTAAACCGACTCCAACATTTAAACCAGAACCTACTCCTCAAATAAATCGTAAAACTCCTGCGTTTCCTTACTGAAAAAATAACGTTATTTTTATTTTATTTGAACATTTTATTTAGAGTAAAATGACAAATAAAGTCACTGAAGCAATGAAACAAAAGTTTTTGGTAGAATACATTAAATCAGGAACTATTCCAGAAGGTTTTTACATTCATACTATGAAGGATGGTAGAGTTCAGTTTAGAAAGATAAAGCAACCATTAGATAGAGAAGGAATTTTGAGAAAGATTAAACTTCATGAGGACAACATTGCTGAACTTAAGAAGAAGTTAGAAGAGTTGGAGAAAGGAAGAGAGTTATAAAGCAATGAATTCAACAGGGTGAAAAAGCAGGTGAAAAAAGAGGTGAGATCTCACCACTTCACCTAAATTTATTTTTGTGCTATGTTTTCATACGTGTGAGGGTGGTGATATCATTTATTTTTAAGTTTATTTTTTATTTTTACTGAAAATTTTTATTTGGATGTAAATGACAGAACAAAAGCAACTCATTCGAATTCCACAGTATAACAAACATACATTTAAACATTTATTCTTCCTTCCTGAGCATAACATGTTCTTTCAAATACATCCGAGACCAGTTGACTTTTCATTGACTGTGTATAAAGATAGAAATAGTTATATCATTAAACCATACGATGACGAAGGTAAGTTATGTAAATTGTACGTTAAGAAGTTAGAGAAAGTTTATGGCTTCAAGTATGACTACAATAGGGTTAACACTGATGATGAAGATATTGAGGAAAATTTATGAGAACATTAGTGAAGTCGTTAGTGAGAACGATAGTGAGAACGTTTATTTTTTACATTAGTGAGTTCGTTAGTGAAGTGAAGTGGTTGGCGGCTTTGTAAAGTGTCAAATTCACAAGTATTGGGTAAGGTGGAACGCAGTGCCACAGTACCCAACTTAACCATACTAACTCCATCCATCTCTGTTGTGAGTTTATTTTAATTTTCTCTAAGAGTCTCATGAAAACCTTACCGAAATGTTTGTGTAAGTAGTCTCTGTTTGGTTCATCTAAAGCTTCGATGTTAAAGTCAATGAGTCTATTGCCTGACTTCACATTTCTCTTCCTATTTTCTTCATCTTTCTTTAACCATCTCTCACCTTCTTTGGTTTGTCGTCAATGGAAGACGAATGACATCGTTAGCTTTGCGAACTTGTTCTATAGCACTTTTAAACATCTCTCTTCTCTGTTGTTTCAGTGTGTCGTCTCTTCTTCTTGTTTCACCGACGTTTGAGTTCATAAGTTCAAACATCTCTTGACGAACATCATGCGAAAGAGCTTTACGAGTATGACCAACGTTTGCATTTGTTATGTCAAACATTTCTCTTCTTACTTCATGTGGTACTGAACGTCTATGATATAAGTCAATAGCAATGTCATTTAAAGGAAATGCTCTTGCATGGACTTCGTCCTCGCCGCGTTGCGGCTTTATGAACTCATGAATTCTATCATAAGTTATTTCACCATTGTAGTCTTTAATGAAGTCAGCGAGTGCTTTTTTGTTTGTTGCGTAATGCTTTGCAACATCTATGTTAGCTTCTGTAAGAAGTTGTTTTATTTCCGAGTGTTCTAACTTAGACAACTTCCGATACATCTTTAGTAGGAAATAAAAAAATTTTTTTGAAAAAATTAGATTAGATTTTTTTAAGTTATTTTTCAAAATAATTTAATATTTTTATTTTAATGAAACACATGCAAGATTGCAAGTTCTTTTCATACAATGCTCTCGCTACTGCCATCAAGAATGAGTTCAATGGTGCTTCAAATGTTAATGTTATCTTTAACAAGAAGTTTGTGAAAGAATCTAAGTTTGGTCAGTATGTCAGACCATTAGCTATCGTCATTGACCGCAAACGTTATACTTCACAAAAGTTAGCAGTAGTTTTGAAACAAAAGAGTTTCTTCGTGAATGTCAAAGATACACACTATACTGTTATAAAGAACTCTAACATTGACTTCTTCAGTATTGCTTTAAATCTTTCCGAACAGAAAGAATATAAGAAAGGTGAAACAAATGTGAAATATTATCCTTCATCTCTGAAAACAATAACGAACAAAGATGTTATACAAAAGTTCTTACCAAAGGTTGAAGAAGCTTCTATTGACATTGACGAAGGAAGTGAAATGGTTGAAGAAATTGACCCTGACGTCATTTAAGCAAAAATATATTTTGGTTAGTCTTCATATCGATATTTTACAACAATTCCCCAATGTATAAACTTTTCATACGCTTTTTCATAAGCTTTATATACCTTCAGAAATTTTGCATAATCTTTAGAAGCATTTAGATATTGTTTAAATGCTTTGTATGTCTTCAGAAATTTTGCATAATCTTTTACATGTTGTTCGTTCTCTTCTTCTGTCATGAGTTCCGAATATTCTAAATTCATGTTCTTTCATATGAGATAAAATTTTATAAAAAAATAAAATTAGCTTAGATTTTTTTATTCTTCCTCTTTGAAGTTATCGAAATATTCTGTTATTTTTTCCTTCAGTAATGTTAAGTCTTCTTTGAATGTAAGTATTGTGCAACCTTTGATATCATAGTGTGTTTGAGGAAGAGTATTTTTGACAATTTCCTTTATTTGCTCATTCGGTGTCATTGAAATCGGTAAGTTTTCACGATAGAACCAGTTTCTGTCAGATTTATATATCTTAGCTAAGTCATAAAAGCTCTTGTTGTTTCTTCTCACTAAATGCAACATAACCATATCTTTATCTTCTTCATTTTCCATCTCTTCAGTATATATCATATACTTATAACTCTTTTCCTTTCCTTTTGGTACTGAACGCGGTATTCTTTTCTGTATGCTTTTGTCTTTGGATTCAATGACTTCATCTTTTGCATGAAGTTTCTTTTCCATCTCTCCGCTTTCTGCTTTATATAGTTCATCTAACATCATGAAAATATAACAAGCATAACGAGGTGAAGCCCACATTGCTACAGCGTTTACTAAAAGTCTATGAACATAATAACCTTTCAAACCAGGAGCCAAATTCTTGCGATTTTCGTACGGAATCTCTTCTCTCGGTTTTCCGAGGGAAGCAATCATATGAGGAAATTCTTCTAAAAGTTCTTTTGTCTGTTGGTTTTCAAACCAATGATATGCTTGCTTTGTAGAACGAAGAGCATTCATTATACTTTGCATTTGGTACATATCGTCTTTGACCGAACGAATGAGACGTAACTGTTTGTTATACTGTATGTACTCGTATTCTTCATTTATGGCTTCATGAACGATAGCAATTGTTGTGTTCTCTGATGTTGACATTACTGTCTTTACATACAAAATAAAAAATTCGAAAAAATAAAAACTAACTTTATTTTTTCTGTCTTAATGAAATTCATTATTTTTGTGCTGAATTCAATAAAAATATATTTTAGGGTAGATGGTTAGATCTAACCCGATATCTAACCTCATTTCTACCCCAGTTATTTTATAAACGTTTCACATGGTAAACGTTATTTTTGGAATTTTGTGAAAACTCAACGGTTTGACACATGCCCTAAAAATTATTTTACTCAGAATTTTGTTGATGAATTCAATAAAAATATATTTTAGGGTAGATGGTTAGATCTAACCCGATTTTTACCCTCATTTCTACCCCAGTTATTTTATAAACGTTTCACATGATATACGTTATGAATTCGTGAAATTTTAAATATTTTTGTAGCTTCTATTTCTTCAGTTAATATATCAAAAATTTTAACGATACCGAAAGTTTCTTTATACTTCTTCTTGACATCAGATAAAAGGAAATCATCGGCTGTGGGATAGTTTTTATTCAGAAATTCTAACATGTTCATTTTATTTTCTGCCGGTTTCTCTGCTTCTTTCTTTAAGTCAGCATAGTCGTTTCGCATACGTTCTATCTCTTTTACTGAATAGTTATATTTCCTCATTGCTGCTTTACATTTCGAACATTGCGGATTCATTTTTGCGTTATATTCTGAAACCTTACCTGCTAAAATAACTAAAGCGTCAATGGTTTTCTTTAAATCTGAAGCAGTTGGTTTTATCTGTTCATTCCATACCTTACCTCTTCTATCTTTATCTCTTATCTGCCATACACATTTTGCAACTAATGAAACAAAGTTGTCGTATGTCTTAAACTCCCCCGATTTATAAATATCTGAAATGTTTTTATAAATCATGTCGCAATCTTTGTCCATAACTTTATGGTTGCAATGATATCCTAGAAACTCATAGTTTACTTTACGTATGAACTTCTTTATTTCTGCAGAATCACTAACTTTAAATTCAATTTCATCGAATTCAGGAATAGTGAGTTTTTGTTGTTGGATTTCAGGCAATTTAGGTAAATGGTCTATGATATCTTGCATGTCATAAAGATATTCTCCATTTTCTTCATCCTGTGCGGTACAGTCTAAATTACTTGTTAAAAGTTCCTGCTTAATTTTTTGTATTTCTGTTTCGAAAGTAAATGAAGAAGGAATGAAGCTTTTCATCTCTACTAACATAGATGTTGGATTCATGACTAACGAGTTTGGTGCTGTTGTTTGAATTGTTGTCGTGCCGATTGTTGAAATCATATCTTTTATACAAAATAAAAAAAAAATAAATAAAAATAAAACTAACTTTATTTTTTCTGTCTTAAGGAAATTCATGAAAATTCAAGACCTTTGGGTCTCGCCGCTTAGCGGTTGAGGGTAGAAATGAGGTTAGATATCGGGTTAGATCTAACCATCTACCCTAAACATTATTTTTGCTGAATTCAGCAACAAAATGAACGAGGTCAGGATGTATGTAAATACCTTTGAATTCATTTATAACGCCCTTAGTAAGCTCATAAAATGCTTGTTTTGAGGTTGAGCCACTTTTGGCTCGACCGTATTCTTTCATCCAAAACTCAAGAATTTCCTGCATGAATTTTCATGAATTTTATATATTAATGTTTTCGTACCTGTTGTCTAAATGTCATGTTGTCATCATTTTTTAAAGAAGTTAATTAACCTGGTGACATGGTGACGTGGTGACACCTAAAAACCATTAACGATAAAATATATTTTTGGTCGTTTATGACAAAAATAAATGGTTCATTTACTCACAATATTTTTGTACAAAACGACCCCAAACTTTTAACTTCTTTTCTGCAGCTTCTAATGCTATCTTAGCGAGTTCATATTCTCTAAATTCTCTCTTTAAATCTTCTTGTTCCCATTGGTCTAGTTCGTATGGAGAATCTCTATAACCATAACATATCTCACGTTCATGTTCTAATTGTTTTTCATGCATTTTTCTAACTTCTTCTTCAAACAAATGTTTTGCATTCTCTACTGTATCTTCGAGTTCTTCTTCATCTAACTTCTCATGAACTTTCTTGTCTATGGAGTCCATAATTTTTCCAACTGCTATGCAATATTTTGGAGAAGCCCACATTGCTATATAGTTTATAAGTCTTGGGTCTACATACGTTCCTCTAACCTGTTTGATTTCATCAGGAATTCCTGCATGAATTTTGTATAAAAAGCAACAGTCCGAATTCCGGCGGTTGCTATATTCTTCACAAAATGCCTTATAATACTCTTTCCAGGACTTATTTTCCAACAACTTTCTAAAGTCTTTCCTAAACTGCTGACACATATTTGTTGCATTAATGTAACCATCCTTGTCTCTACGTAAGACTTCAATACCGTTATAAGTGCCTTTTGTGAATGTTTCGCCATTATATTTGTTAGTGAATGTTTTTGCTTCGACTGACATTTCTGTTCTTACATACAAAATAAAAAAATAAATAAAAATAAAACTAACTTTATTTTTTCTGTCTTAAGGAAATTCATGAGGGTAGAAATGAGGTTAGAAATCGGGTTAGATCTAACCATCTACCCTAAACATTATTTTTGGTGTAAATAAATGGTACCATTAATGATATCATGACTGTTCTCGTTCATGTCTGATTTACATCTAATGAAAAAGTTTAGAAGAATTTTCTTATTCTTTCTGGCTTATTTTTATCCTTCCAGTACTCCCGCTCTAATGGTCCCAGATGAGTTGGTTTAGATTCTCTCAAGTTCTTAGATGGTATAACATCTTCAACGCCTCCTTCATATCTTACTTTATAAGTGTCATCGTTTATGTTATAGCCAAGTATTTCAATAACCACTCCTCGCTTTGCTTCGTCAATGGTTTCAGCAAGTTTGCCATTACTACTTTCAACTAATTTATGTCGAGGATAAAATGCAATGGAGTCGTCAGCAGCTTTTATAAGATATCCATTACCTTGCGTAGAGTCTACGATATAATAATTTCGACTTAACCTTAAACGTTTCTTTGTCAACGGTTTGTCGTCAAGAACTACACGAACTTTTGTTCCAGGAATGAGGGTAAATTGTGTTGAATTTCTGATATTTTGTGTTTGACTTCGTTTCTTTTGTATATACTTTTCTTCTTGTTGTCGTGTCATTGAATTTGGTGTATGTCCTGTTGTAGAATGTGTTGAGGAATTATATACTTCGAGAAAATGTTTCATTGTTTCTTCGGTAAAGTCTCGCTCTTGGTTTAAATCTCTGAGCGTTCTTATGAAGCGGTTTATGATGCCGAGTATGTTATGGTTATGGTCTTCAGTAGTGTAGTGAGTTATGTTATGCTTAATGAGAAAATCTGTGATTTCATTGCTGAGGTATGCACCGTCTTGGTCTGATGTTAAAGTACTTGGGTTATGTTCTGCTACAAACTTTTGTAAAACTCTTAACACTTCACGAGTTCCTTTATTTTTCATTGGATATGCAAAAGCTTTACGAGTGTTAACATTAATGAAAATCAAAAATGGTTTATGACCTCCTTTTCTGCTTTGAATGAGAGTGTCAAATTGGTATGCGTCAGGAGTGTTGGAGTAAATTGGTAAAAAGTAGTCGTAAGGGTTTATTTTTGTTTGATGTACAACATTTTTGTCAAAGAACTTTTTAACTTCAGCTCTGTTAGTAAATCCCCAACTCTTTGCAGCTTCATTGAACTTCTTAAATGACCTCCATGGATGTTGTTCGAATACTTCTTTTAAACTCATTTATGTAAAAATAAAGATTTTATTCAAGACGGTAAGCCTGCAAAGCAGGCTCAAGCGCGTTCATTAAACGCGGTACCATGCGAATACAGTCATAAATGGTGGCATATAATCTTCACCCGAGCCTGTTGGATTTGTTGTGAAAGTATGGACATGATTTCCTCCTGGTTCAGTTGGTCGAAAAGTCTTTTTTGCTGAATTGTTATAAGATGGAGATAAAACATCATTGCCAGCTTTATAGTCTGAGTTGTATAATGGGTGGTCTCTTAATGAGTGGCTATGGTCGCCAGAAAAGTTTGTAGTTCCTGGATGAGTGTGCGCAGGTAAGTTTGCTTCAGTAATTTTCTTCGAACCTCCTGTTTGCTTTGAAGAGTTAGCACAGTATAAGAATTTGTCTACAATCTGCTGCCATGTACCAAAACCTAAAACACTTGCTGGATTTGTTGAGTTCATTGACGTATAAATAGAACCAACAGGATATAATGTTTGAAGTATTTCAGTCTTTAATGTTTGAAGCTCTGTTTTGTCGGCTTTCTTATCATATAAATCTTGAGCAGTGAATTTAACATTATTTTCATCATCCATGACATAAACATTTTTACAGCTAATGTCTTTCTTCGTTGTTATGTTTTCATTCGATGTTAAACCTTGTGGAAAGTTAGGAGGTTTATAATATAATGCATCCCCACCAGTTCCGCCAACCGTTCCTTCAATACTTTCTATAGCAACAGTTGAGAAGGAGTTATGTATATGTTCTTTATCTGCTTTTTTATCTAACATTGCTGGTATTTCATATGTTTCAAAGTTTCTGACATGTCCTTCAATGTTCATACATTTGTTATTTAAGGAGTTTAGTGTATCTTTTACGCTTGTACTTGGATTCTCTAAAGGTGCACTTGAACCAAGGGTATAGTTCAATATTATGTCGTCTGCTCTAACAGTAGTGAAGGATTCATGTGTATGGTTCTTGTCAGCTTTACTATTTAATGTAGCTTGAAGTTCATTTATATCGGAGATATTGTGTTTATGAGATTTCAAAACTTTGTTCGTTGTGTCAAGTTCATCTTTGTCAGCTTTACTTTTAATAGCATCTTCAAAAGTTATTTTTGCCTTAACTCTCAATGTAAATCTTGGTTCAACTAATACACCGTTAACAAAGAAATACGAAGCATATATTTCATCGTTATAACCAAATGCTTCTTGTGCTTTACCTGTGTCATACTGTACAGTACAGTGTATGTCATAACCTTTAGCACGAATGTATTTATATCTTCTTTCATTAACATCTTCAGTGCTTATTTGTTCATCCTGTATTAAATATCCGTGGTAGTCCGTTATAATTTGTTCGTCTGAACTTATATAATGAACATGGTTTTTATCTGCTTTTTCGGCTAATTTCTCTTCTATCTCATTTATTTCAAGTTCATGCCTACCACTACCTCCTTCAGAAGTATTTTTCTTCAGCTCTTGAAGAACATCCACTTCACCATCTTCGGTGTCAATAATGAGACTTTGCGTTAAAACTTTTCCTGTCTTAATGGATGCTTGTAAAACTTCTTCTTCACCATGTTCGGGGTCATGGTCGTCATCATATCTTGTGAAATCAGAGATGTTGTCATACATTAAGCATATCTGTCTCAAAAGTTCTGCTATTTGAAACTGGAACGAAAGATATACAGAACTTTCATCATCTCCTAAAGTCAAGTCTGCTTTCTTAAGTATTTCTTGAATGTATGCAATGAGAACAGAGTACCTTGGAAAATATTCGAACAATATTTCATTAGCTGTTGGTTTTGGTGGTTCTTCTGGAGTTTCTGTTGTTTCAGTTCCTTCTGTAGGTTCTGTTGGAGTTTCTGCATCTCTTGACTTCAATGCTCTTGCTCTCAAAGACCTAAATGTTAGAGCACCAGGTTTTACAAAGGACTTTATAAATGCTTTAATAGTTCCTGGTAAGTTATTGTTAGCATTAAGTAAGTTCCTTATGCTTCCATCATGTACGTCCATAGCACTATGTAAAAAATCTATACTTTTCTTGTAGTCAGCAATAGACTGACTGTGATTTTTTAAAGATTTGTCAATACCTTTAAGCCAATCTTCATGCATGTCTGATACTGAGCCAAGAATATCATTTGCTTCCTTTAGTGTATTTTGTGCTTCTCGTAAAGTATCCAATCCCGTACGTGCATTGTTTGCTATACGTCTTACAGTATCTATTTGACTCCTTGTTTCTTGCATCCAACCAGATAAAGTTTTAATAGTATCCGAACCATTTGAAATGAAGTTCAAAGCATTTTTAACGTCATCTAAAGCTTCTTCACCAAGTACTGCCCATATCTTTCCGATTTGGTATTGAAGAACTCCATATGAAGCAGCTGTTAAACCAGTATTTATAAGGTTCCATATCCATGATTTAGCAGTTTTTCCATCCTTTCCATCTTCACCATCCAAACCGTTTTCGCCTTGAGGTCCTTGTATTCCTTGTATTCCTTGTATTCCTTGTGGTCCTTGAGCTCCAGTGTCACCATTCTCTCCTTTCAGTTCATCTTTATGTTCGTTATAATATTCTAATGTCATAAGGTGTACATCATTACTGCTACCAGCAACACCGAGAATTTGTTTCTCATTCATGACTAAATTCTTTAAGCATTTAATGTTGTCGTCAAATCGAAAGCTCTTTAACAATTCAATGAGAACATTTAATACTTTCACTAATGAGGCATCTACTGTAGAATTTATATATTGCACCGTTCCATCATTTATGATGGGAACCTTGCTTGTTGTAATGAATGGGTCATAAGTGTTAAAAGTATCGAAATCAATGACTTTTTTAGTTTTTCCATCGTCAATGACTAAATTGTTACCTTCCACTGTTAAAGTTGAGTTTTCATTTACTAGTTCATGTGCTCTTCTTGCTTCATTTGTTTCATACGCATATGCAGCAATAGTCATATTTTAATGAGAATAAAATGTTGTTCTATTTACAAAGTACAGACCCGAATGAATACGGAATAGTAAAACTACAAACAAACTTAGGTCTTCAGAATGAAGCGCTTGCTTTCAGAGTTGTTGACTTCAATACTATCGCAACTTTTGTCATAACAGATGAAACAGATTTCATAGAGATTGAAATAGATGACAAAAAAGTGTTGTAACATTTCCTAACAAAGCCGAGTACAGAATAGATAAAATTGTTGGAGTCATAGATACTCTCATAAATGAAGAAACTATTGACAACATAGATGTCGAACTCTCTTCTGATGGAACATTGAAGTTCAGCAGCGAGAAAGAGTTTAAGATAACACGAATGAGTCATAGAGTTCAATTGCTTCTGGAAGCATACCATATGACATTTCCTTTGAAAAGTGTTGACAAAACGATTGAGATGAAATCTGTTCCATACGTATGATATTTTATCGTTAATGGTTTTTAGGTTATTCAATAATTAATTATTTTTGAATAACTGAAGGTGTCACCACGTCACCATGTGTCACCAGGTTAATTAACTTCTCTTAAAAATGATGACAACATGACATTTTGACATCAGTCCAGGAAATAAATTTTATCGTTTATGTTTACGTTAATGTTTCGTAAATGTTTTCATGAATGTTTTCAGTGTCACCACGTCACCATGTGTCACCAGGTTAATTAACTTCTCTTAAAAATGATGACAACATGACATTTTGACATCAGTCCAGGAAATAAATTTTATCGTTTATGTTTACGTTAATGTTTCGTAAATGTTTTCATGAATGTTTTCAGTGTCACCACGTCACCATGTGTCACCAGGTTAATTAACTTCTCTTAAAAATGATGACAACATGACATTTTGACATCAGTCCAGGAAATTTGATGCAGTCCAAAAATAAAGTTATTTTAAAATTATTTTTATTTTTTTTATTCCTATATAAATGACAGCAACAAACAACAACAGCAACTTTATCGTTTCTGATGAAAATATCATTGATTCATTAGCTGAGGAATTAGTTGTGACAGAAACTAAAACCCTCAACGAAAGAATTGGTGAAAACAAGATTGATTTACATAACTACCTCAAACACGATGGAGGAAGAGGAAGGAAAACTGGTATGGCTTTATTAGTAAATAAAATTTCAAATTTAACGATTATAGATGTTGATATCAATAAATCATACAATGATGAACTTAAAGAAACAGTTAGAAAAGATATTTTATCAAAACTTTCGGATAAAGATGTTATCGTTAAAACCGCTTCAGGAGGTCTTCACATTTATTGTAACACTAATTTCTTCTATTCAGTTTCGAACAGAATGATTAAATGCTATTCCTGCAATGATTACGATATTGATATCATGACTTCTATGGATGATTCAAAGCGTTCATTAATGGTTATGGCTGATTCAAGAGTTCGCAAGAATGCAACAGAACCAATCAATACATACTCATTCATTCGTGGAAGTTACGATTCAACATTAACTAGAACAGTGAATGATATATTAAATGATTTGAATATTAAGGTAAGAGTTGAACAGAAGAACGAAGAAATAAAGACTATCATGAATGAAAACAAAGATGTAAACATTGACGATAAACTTGCCCAGAGCATAGTTGATGGCATCAGTGATTTTGAAGTACATAATGACGGTGGAAACATGAATTTAGAAAAAGAAGTTACATTATTCACACTGTTTCAAGCAATTAATTCGTTACCTAATCATTTAATTAATGAAGCATACGATAACGTTTATAACTTCTGCAATTTAACTGAAAATGCAAAAAGTAATTTTGAAAAAGCACGTAGTAGATATGCACATTTAATGACTTCTCCATTTGTTTTGGTGAAGATTCTAAAACTATATCAAAAGGAATATTATGTTGAATATGTTTTGCCTTTATTACGTAAGCCAAAAATAACATTTGATATAAAACTTGATGATTCATTCTTGATAACAGATATTAGACGCAAGGCTGAAAATCATCAGTATAAAAACAGTTCTGAAGTAATTGAGGATTTATCACGTGTAATCCGTTTTGTAGATTGTGGAAACAAATACTTCATTCAGAAAGATTACAACATACACGACAAAATGAATCAAATATCATTCGTTCTTCAATCAAACATGAAAGAGTCACTCAAAATGATTAAATTATTTAAAGAAGAAGGTAAAACCATAACAGCATGGGACGTACTATTAAATCAATTGTCTTCATTAACCGTTAAGGGTGTTTGCTTTAAATCTGATTCTCCAGATGTTTTCTCAACGTTTCAAGGTTATAAATACAACGTTCTCGAAAAGCCTGATTACTCAAAAATTGAAATGTTTATGAATTTCATTAAAGAAGCCATTTGTGATAATAATGATGAAGTGTATAAATACCTTCTCGGCTGGATTGCATCAATGATTCAACATCCTGGAATCAAGAATGAAACAGCAATTATTTTGAAAGGACTTCAGGGAACAGGTAAAAACAGATTTACAGACATTATTTCTGAACTTCTCGCCGGTTATTCATGTAAAAACATTACCGAAATAAGTGAGCTAACAGGTAATTTCAATTCAGTAGTTGAGAATAAAATGTTTCTTGTACTTAATGAACTCAAGAATGTAGGTGAAGATAGACTCGCAAACTTCAACGCTTTGAAATCAATTATTACGGATAATCAAATAAGAATTAATGAAAAGAATCAACCCAGAAGAACTGCTCAGAATGTTGCAAACTTCATTTTGGTAACTAATAACGTTTACCCTGTCAAAATTGAAGTTGGAGACAGAAGATACGTAGTTTTAAGAGTTAATGGTAAATTCAAGGGTCAATTTGATTACTTCAAGAATTTAATGGATTCATGCACTAAGGAATTTTATGATAATTTACTGACGTATTTTATGCAATATGACCTTTCATCATTTAATGTACGAATCATACCGATGACTGAAGCCAAACAAGATTTAATAGAATTATCAACAAATCCTTTAGATGAATGGATAAATACACATTATGATGAATTGTGTGCAGGTATGACGTGTAAAAATGCTCTATGCTGCAAACCATCAGACATGAAAGACAAAAACTTTCAAATGAGCATTAAAGATAAATATGAAAGGAAACAGAGAAGAATAGATGGTAAACAAACATGGTGTTATGTTTTGAAAGAAGAAATGAAAGGATTATATAAACAGGTTGAACCAAACGATAATGAGGATTCATTTACTGACGATGAAATACCTGTAAATGAAGCTTTATAAAGTATGATTGGAATTTATTTTTGCATTAATCCTGCTGTGATGTCAAAATGTCATGTTGTCAGTAATTTTAAGAGAAGTTAATTAACCTGGTGACACATGGTGACGTAGTGACACCATCAGTTATTCAAAAATACATTTTCTTATAAAGCTTCAGGGTCTATTTCCTCAATTACTTCACTTCCTTCTTCATCATATTCAATCGTTGCTTCCTCAATTACTGGTAGGAGTTTATTGATTATATCTTTATTCGTTATCGTCTTCAGAGATGAAGGATAATATTTCACAACTACTTCACCTGGAGGGCTCTTTGAGCCCATCTCGCCGCCTTGCGCCTTCTTGTATTCTTTCTGCTGCGATAAATCTAAGGCGATGCTGAAAAATTCAACGTTAGAGTTCTTCATAATCGTATAATGTGTATCTTTGATATTTACAAATATTCCTTTCTGTTTAAGTAATACTGCTATTTCATGTGGTGTGTAACGTTTTCTGTCAATAATGATAGCGTATGGTTTAACGAACTGACCGTATTTAGATTCTTTCACAAACTTTTTATTGAATATTACGTTCACGTTTTTTCCATTTATGAATTCACCCTTAACAGCAGTAGCGAGAGCATTGTATGAATAGAACTTGTATTCAGACATTATTTTATTAAAATTAAAAATATAAATTATTTAAAAAAATTAAGTTTATTTTTAAATTATATTTTTTACGGAAAATATTTTTTTATTTTCCATAAAAGATGTATAAAAAGCTATCTAGATTAGACCATGAAGAAATTAAGAAGTTATTGAAGAATGCTGACATTGAAGTTAGCAAAAGATATGCGACTAACAAATCTTCATTAGCTAAATACCTCAATGATTACAGAGGTGTAGTCACTTACGAGAAAATCAATGATTACATTAATAACAAAACATTTCCTTTAAATGATGTTCAGGTTAATTTATATCATAAACAAGCAGTACCGAAGGAAGTAAGGCAGGAAATTCATGATATGATGAATGTTGATGTAGGTGAAACGAGAAAGAAGAAAAGCGATGAAGAAAAGAAAAATATAGCTGTAAAGTATGCAAAAGCAATTGCACAATTACGCAAAGCAAACGAAGTAATTAAACCTATAGATGATAAAGCTCTTGATGACGAAAAATGGTTAAAGAAGGATGAAAATAATAAACGCAAAAATGTTAAAGCAGGAAATATTTCCTGGAATATAATTTCAAAAATATTTGAAGGGACTTTAGCTCACCTGGGAGAGCGTGCGACTGAAGATCGCAAGGTACGTGGTTCAAGTCCGCGAAGTCCCAAATTTTTCTTTTTCTCTCTATTTTTCAACACTACTCTCAAATATTTGAAAAGATTCTTTTCTTTCCCATATGCTCTCCTCTTCATATATTTTAATCCATCAATCGATCAATATACTCCAATTTTATTCAAAAGTTGGTTATATCACATATATTTAGAATATTTTTACCTTGATTTTTACTCTGACCATTTCCTTTATGCGTTAAAGTAACTTTAATAATCTTCTTTTCTGGATTCGGTCCTAAACTTACCCTGCACTAATGTAAAGACTGATTTTTATTGTTGTTTTTTTGGAAAGTTGAGTTTGTAATTTTTGAAATTGAACAATTATGATAAATATATCTAACTCAATATTTTGTACAAATCATTAACGATACAGAATTCGAAAAGAAACAGATAGAAATTGAAAACATATTGTATTTTTTCAATAATTTACTATTCTCAAATTACAAATTCCTCAAAAGATTGCTAATTTTAATTTCAATAGAATACATTCAATTTTTCATCTTTGATAAAAAAGTACGGCCATGGCCAATAAAAGTGCCATAATTTAAGATGCGTGGAAAGTGGCTCAAGAAGCGTATGCGGAGACTGAAAAGGAAGAGGAGGATGATGAGGTCCAAATAAAGCCCCTCTTTCCTGAGAATTGCCTCATAGGGGTATGTCCCTTATTTCTGTGAATAAAAACCTTTCACAAAAAAACTACTTTACTTTTTTTCTATTACTTTTTTAAATTACATCTTAGCTGCAAGACCAACATTGCCATTTGCAACTATGGAATCTAGTAATCTTTCACTTTGATATTCTATACTTTCCAATACATCCAAAAGACATGCAAGAAGAATTAGGAAGTGCCAAGGGAATGCTTCTTTTAATAGTATTGGCCTTCTAATTCTTATTATATAAACTTAATTTTATTCAATCTCAGCAATACACTAACATAATGACAATTCTGACTCCAAATACTCTTCTTATATGTATACCTCTTATTGAAATCCAAAACAAAATTCTAGTCAAAATAATTTACTTGAAGAAAATTTGAACATAAAGAACAAATAATACATTATTATTACGAGTTTTGTAGTTCATAGGATATAAAAACAATTGAAACAATTGATAAAAAAATAAAATATAAAAAATATTTTTACAAATCACCATCTTTCAGGTCAGAGTCAAAGACATCCTCGCTTTCTTCCTCTTCCACATCATATTTCAATCCCTTTCTGGATCCATTTTCGAGGCTCCTTCTGTTCTGGAACCAGTAAGTTACAGATTTCAGAGGAATGTTTAGTTCTCTCGCTATTTCATCTCTCTGTCTTATTTTTGGTGTCGGATTGATCTTGAAGATTCTTTCGAGTTTAATTTTCTGTTCTTTGTTGAATACCGTTCTAATTGCTTCAGCCTTTATCTTTGCAATCGCTGAAGGATATCCACGACCATCCCTTATGCTTGAAACCCTGAAATACCTGATTTCTTCCGGAATCTTCGCGACAACTCCATTAACTGTCGGATTCTTGAAGAACATGAGTTTCTCGAACTCTGCAACCTTTGATTGTGCACCCTCGATCAGTATTCCGTCACTTGGCGATGTAGATTTCCATGTAATTAAGACATTATCGCCATCGTATCGAACTTTGATATCTGTTGGCTCGAAAGTATCGTAAGACTGGAACTCGACCAAGCTCGATGAAAGAATACCGAATTTTCCATGAGCTTCAAGCGTTGCGTGATATCTCCTTGATTCAGGCATAACTAAGGACAATGTACATCCATTCACGAAGTTTATCTCTCTTGAGGTATATCTGCCGTTGCCTGTCATGATCTTCAAGTACATGGAGTGTATTAAATACCAATATTCATACTTTGGTATTTCAAAAGTGACAAGTAATTTTTTATCTGGTGAAGATTTCACAATTGGCGGCAAAGGTGATGGCGGATAGCCAAGGGAGAGGACTTCTAATATGGAATCTGTCTTAAAGGCTATGACGGTGTTCTTGTCGGGCGAGAAAAAGGAGGATGGCCAGGTAATTGAGTTTATCCAAGAAATTAACAAATAATGAGTATTACTAAGAGTTAATTTCATTGGGTTGCCAACCAAGTAGCTTGTCCTGCCTGGACTCTTCAAGAAACTGGCGAAAATAATGACGGTATCCAATTTTTCTGGATCCGGAAAAATATATCCGTATTTGTACTCCCTATTTATCTTAAACACATCGGATTTGTTTGATACAACTTCACTGAAACGTCCGACCTCGCTATCAAAAAGGAATAAACCGTTATCAGTTAGAAATAAAATATAATTCATTTCTAGCTGATAAGAAGCTACCATTGTAGTGAAATCTGGCATCGTGATCATACCGTTTGAAACAATAGTCTTGAAATCAGAACCGTCTTCGTTCAAAAAGATGTCAATTTGAGCAGCTTCGTTATCTGACGCCTTGTAAAGCATCCTTACAACTCTTCTGTAGCCTATGTATGTCAGCAATGACCTCTGCATGTAATCAACTTCAAGTAAATCGAGAGCTATGGTAATATCTTCATTTACACTAACAAGCATTACGAACTTCATGCCATTATCGCTTATTACTACGAATTTGTTCGATCCTAGGTAATATCCCGTCATGTGGTTTGTAGATAAGTCGTCGATTGAATAAATTTTTCCAAACCATCTGAAATCTTTGCAGTTAAATAATGCTACTTGTATACATCCGTTGTAAGTTATACATAATGCGTAATTTCCATCTGTACATCTGACGAAAATTGTATTTTCTGGTTTAAATTCGTTGTTTAAAGGATCTACTTTCATTGCTCTGCTACTAAGAGGTGTTGTGACTAGTTCTGTTACTTTTAACTGAATATCTACTGCTTTACTTTCTGCTTCCATGATATAATTTTTTATCGAAAATCTTTAATCGTTTTCCATTGAATTTCTCCTATGATGCGACGATTAAAGTTAGGAAAAAAGTCCTGAATATGAGTTATTTCTCTGATTAAGTATTTAATATACAATCACCAGCCAACATACATATGATCAAATGGATAATATTTGAAAATATTTCCAATTTAACAAATAAAGTTCGAAATTAATTAATTTGTAAGGAAGCTCTGACCTAGTTTTGCATTTTATCCGATAAATCAGACCTAATTGCAATCTTGTATTGATTAAGAACTAAAATGTAAATTGATGTTTGAAAAATTTGAATGAATAAGAACAGATGAGTGATTAATAGAAGTATTGGACAATAAAAAGATAAATAAATGTAAGATAGATATATTTACAAACAAAAATAAAATATAAAAAATTAAAAATGTTTCAAAGGTTGGACATAAGATACATAGCCTTATCTTTACGGTCAAGATATAGCTTTTTGTAAGAATTATGGTTGAAAAGTGCTGCAATTGAAATAATTATTCCTCTTTCGTCTTTTTTATACGGACTTTCATCAGACAAATCCAATATAGAGTCAATATGGTGGATTTCTTCATGAGTCGGAATGTCATCAGATTTTATTATTGTCTCGCATAGCTCTGTAAGAAGAATTGCCTTCTGAACAATCTTTGCAAATACTTGTTTCGTATAAAAGTCTAAAAACTTCTGGTTAACGGACAATAATTTCGAAATAATCGAAACTCCGTATTCAGAGCTTCTTATAACATTCAGCTTGTAAATACGACTAATTTTAGCAGCCCTTGCCTTTATTTCTTCTTCAGAAAGCGACGAAGTTTTGATATTCTGATTTTCGATAAAAGCAGTTCGTTGAACTTCGATTGCAGGTGATTGTATGACTATTCTCTGTGACAACTGTACCCACGTAAATGGGCGTTTGAATTCCCAAAGCATATTCATAGGAATTGCAGCTTGTTGCCAGGTAATTTGTACGTATAAAAAAGGTAGAATCGTATTTCTGTAGTACTTATCGGATAAACTCTTTTGGTAGTCAAGGCAAAAATTCATTAAAATATCAAATAATAATTTTGCTTCTTCTTGGTTATTAGATTCGATAATTGTTGTCATTTGTGTCTGTAGGTGAGATGCAATAAGGGTGCCTAGGAAATTGATGTCGAAATAATCCAATTTCATAGGTTGAATTGAAAAAGTATGTGGAGATAGTAATTGCGAAATTATATTAAGAATCCTTTCGACTTCTGGCATTGCCCCGTTTATGTTATTCTCTTCGCAGAATTTTCTAACGATTTTACCGCAATAACAAGTCTGTTGTGTAACAGTATTAACGTAAAGCGTTTTCAGATTGACTTTAGTTTCATTTATGAAAATGGCAAAACACCAATATTCTGGATATGAATCGGCTTGATGTATGAAAATACTTGCAAAGTACGAAATCTTGTGTTCAAGTAACTGAAAGAAGCTTGCAGGACAATCTGCAAATGATGATTGCTGTTGTTGTTGAACATTGAGAAGATTAAATTTTAATAAATCCGTTAACCACTGCCTATTTTCAAAGCGTTCGTCATATTTCCACAAGTTTCTGATAATAACACCAGTTCTCATGCTGAAACTTGCAATACAAACAGCTAAAAAGGGGTGATTAGGTGAAAGTTTCAAAAGATTTTCGTCAGTCATTTCTTCTGACAAAAATATGACAAAATTTGTAATAATGAAAAATTGTCCATAGTTGAATACATGATTTTAAAACAAATTTTTATTCGAAAAGAAAAACTAACCGGATCGCTGTGAAATTTGGGCTGGAGACTATCAAATAGCTGTATTTCCACAGTTAATACTATATACTACTATTTCAGAGTTGAAATATATAAGTATTCTCACTTCAATACAAATTTCCAAATATCAAAGATATGATGAATGGTTTGCTTGCGCCATTCCAAAAGAGATGATTAGCTTGACGATAAAATGCATATGTGCTAACATTCATAACAGAAATGCCTTCAGTTTGGCATTTTATTATCTAATATAGACATAAACATTTCATTCTTCCGGTCAAATTGATCTAGTATCTTTCCTGAGCAGAGAGTTGTCCGTGTGAAGCGTATAGATAACATTTTCGAACAAACAATATGATAAAAGTTCTCAAAAAAGTTGCAGATTTTGGAATTATGAACGGAAATTGGAACTATGTTACAAGTTATTGTGATTATCTTGAAAGAGTGTCACATGAACTTGACGAAACAATATTAAAGACTAAACGCGAAGCATCCAAACTCCAAAGTATCTTTGAGGCCATTTCTCCAAATCAAGTTACTGATCCGAGAGAAAATGAGTCAGCTCCACCATCTCATCAGCGTCAAAAGTTCTTCCGTGGCTTCGAGCAAAGACCAGAACTAAAAATTTCGGCAGATCCATACGGTGATTTTCAGAATGCATTAAATACGTATAAGAAGCTACCAAAATTCCCAAGAGAACGCTTACCAAACTCTTTTATTAACAGAATGATGGACTTTTCACGACTTACTCCTGCACATTTATTCGATAGAATGATTCCTTGTTTACGAACTCTCTCACAAGAGCTAGACAAAGTTATGGACATGAAAATAGATCAACCAAATCAGACATTTCGAGTTAAATACACATTAGAAAAAGCAGAAGAAATCTTAAATGCATACGAAAAACTTATAGTCGAGAATGGAGCAAACAGAAGAGTTGATGTCATTGCTAGAGAAAAGCAAATAGATCCTCCGAAGCAATCACCGCCAAAACCAAAGGCAGACGTTTTTGAAACAATTGCAAATTTAACTCCTAAGCAACTTAACGAATTTTATCACCTTAGAGGAACAGCTAGACAAGCAAAAATGATTGCTATGATGAGAGAAAGAGCTGCACACGATTTCACAGAATTTCTTCAGACTTATAACGAAAATCTCGATCTAAAAGAGAAAGAAGATTATCTTAGAACAGCAGCACGCGCATTCCAATTACTTACAAACTCAAAACGAAAGCATGCTTTAATTTCATCCAAAATAAATTGTTAATAATATTAGATTTTTAAGAAATACTACATTTTTAAAGTTATCATACAGAAATACTATTCCTCTTCAGATTTGGATCAAGGAGATTTGATATTGATCAAAATTCTGTTTGATTCATGCACATTATAGCATTTCGCTATCATAGAATTGTTAATATACATCTAAATTTAGTTAATACAATAATAATTTTACTCAAGATCAACGTTTGGTCATCTCTTAAATATATTTTAAAAAATAAGAAGAAAAGTAAACTATTTATCAATATATAAGTAGAATTGTGGTTAAATAAAGCATTTGATATAATTACTAATAATATTTTAGATAGAGTGAGAAAAATTCATATATATACATAGAAAACAAAATAAAAACAATTACTTACCAGATATAATCAAGCGGTTGGTTGAAGCGCGGGCATAAAATGGATCATCGGAGAATTTGAGATCATGTTTTCTCAAATAGTAGACACCAATTATTGTCATCACGCTTGTGAACCATTCAAATATAAGTGTGAAGAAAAATTGGAAGATTCTTGCATGTTTGTTGGGAACTACATCGGATTTATTAAGTTCTTGGCCAAACCAGGTAACAATTGGATTCAAATTGCAGTAATGCAGTAGATTGAAGATACTTCTGATAAAGAATGTAATGCAGAAGATCCAGATGCCAACAACACTCCATTTGACAAATGAAGCATCTTCTGGTTGGATTACTGGATATGAAACAGCGGCAATCAAATGAGAGGCTGGTACTGCTACAAATACTACAACCAAGAAATCTGTGCAAGCATGCCATAGGGATAATTCGTTCGAATAATTACTGTTTGACGATCCTGCGAATGATAATGCAATGCCAACAATTAAAAATACAATAAGAAATACTACGAAAACGACTCTATAAAATTTCACTGTTTGCAAACCTGGATTACGATAGGTAAATAGCAATTCTACGATGAGTAAGACGAATAATGATATAGGGATTAGCGCTAATATAGAATTTACTCCACCATGAACTATAAGAATACTTTCGCCTGATTTATAATTGAAATAAAAAATTTGAATAATTCCTCTATAGAGCATGAAAATGTCCATAAATAGCCAAAACATTGATACTAAGTCTATAATACCTTCATGATTGTTTAGTTTTAATTGTATATGCTTTTTCCAAAACCATATACATAATGCGCCGACAAGAATGAATAAACAGCCGAGAACAATCATTTCTGGAAGGCCACACACTAGGCCTGGCATAACCATTTTGCATATGGAAGGCTCAGGCTTCATGAAAGAAAGATTTTAATAATAAAGGTGTCAATTTCAACTGCCTTTTCAATTTTTCTTAAATTAAGAATTTATTTTTCGTTGTATAATCACATCTTCAAAATTTTGATTTTCCAATTTCCTCCATTCAATTCTTCATGTAACGTACGAAAATTTTTAGATGAATCAAATCGAAACAGCAGTGAAATATTGCCAAAATAAAGACTTAGAATGCCTAATGCAAATAGTTCCAAAGACGGTTGATCCTAATGCATTGATTTTCTTATGGGAAAATAATGGAATGACCATCAAACAAGGCTCTTTTCTTGAAATAGCAGCATATTGCGGTGCAACAGAATGCGTTAAGTATTTACTCGATGTAAAGGCAGAGGTTGATAAGCGTGATGAAATTCTTTATAAATTTATTACGAAATTTTTCATTATTTTACAGAACACCGCTTTATATGGCTTGTATGAGTGGGTATTTAGAGATTATACAAATTCTTGTTGAACAAGGTGCTGATGTTCATTGCCATGATAATCACGGCTGGACACCTCTTCATAGAGCTGTTCTTTGGGATTATGTACCAATTGTACAGTTTCTTCTTGCAAAAGGCGCTGATCCAAATGCAATAGATTTAGACGGATTTACTCCTTTGCACATGGCAGCAAAATGGGATCATTTTGAGTCTGCTGAATACCTTATCAAAGCAGGAGCTAATCCTAACGCACAAACTAATAGGTTTGAACCATCCTTTATTACAAGAACACCTTTCGAGCTTGCTTTCCTTAACAGAAGGACAAAAGTTGCTCGTGTTCTTCGTAAAGCTGGTGGTGAAGCACAACAAGAGTTTATTAAGAAACTTTCTCCTGAAGAGAAGAAAGTCTTTAATTCTTTTGGTGTTTAATCATGTATAAAAGTCAATAAATGTTCTTAATCATATTAAAATAGACAAAAACATAGTTTAATCTGCTTATAATTGAATTCTAGTAATAATTTGAATGCATATTTTGTAACATTCTATTTAATTCCATATATAATTAAGGAAACATGACTCTATGTGAATCACACATTGTAGGGCTACGATTGAGTGTGTGTTACTTAAAAAAATAAAAAATTATATAATAAAAAATACTAATATATTTACAAAACGCTTGAAAACAAATAACAAAATAATCATATCACATTCCTGGTAGCTCAGCAATAGTTCCTGAATTACCAACAATTTTCCCATCGATCAATGATAGAACTGTGTCATAATTTGATCCGAAATAGCCATAGTTGATGAATCTTAATCGTTCGTTAATATAAACTTTTGGATCTTTTGTATCAAATGAATGACGAACGTGATTTATATGATAAACAGCTGGTTCAAGACCAAATGTTAGAGTATCAGTATTCTCATTAAGATAGCCGCACAACCAGTTATCCCAATTGTATCTTCCCATGATAAATGGTGGAATAACATTCGGATCAAATGGAAGTTTGTCTAATCTAAAAGTAAATAAGTCAACTCCAAACGGAGAATGTATTGTTTGTCTTGAACCTTCAACTAGTTTATCTGTTTGATGTAATAAGTCAGTCGATAAATTCATTTCTCTCATTTTATGCATTTCTAAATCAAAATCAATTCGCTGATTGATAATCACGAGTTTCTTATCTGGTAAAGCATTGAATGTTTGCTTGATTGCAAAGTACCAGTTACTTGATAATAAAATATCTGTATTAATAAAGCTGACATATAGAGTTTCTGAATCCTGGATTCCGCGTCTAAACCAATCATCTATGTATGGAATGCCATCTTTATTCGATTTTAAGTCACCCAAGTATTTAACTCTTCCTGGTCCGTATAATTCATCAATTTCTTTTTGGATGTTTCCAGTTGGATCAAAATCGTCCGGTTTTATATATAAAATAACTTTGCTTCGATTTGTTGATGCTAGCCAATTACAAATCGTAAACTTGTATTTTAATCTTTGATCTTCTGATTTAACTGGCTTTGGTACAGTAATGTAGGTAATATCATCTGATGTATTATATTTAATAACTTTAGTTTGTTCACATTTCGGACAAATATAAACTCCAATTCCGAATTGCGGGGACATGATGAAACTTGCAACTATCGAAGAGGCAAAAATTGATATAAATAGAATTGATAGCTCAAGAGGTGAATATCTGAAAGAGTCTATCAATTTGTTATAAAAAGTGACACTCAAATCATATTTATCAGAGGAGCCTAATTAATGCAATCTACTATCTGTTAATAGTGGATTCAAATTTCCCTCATAAATGACTCAAAAATGAAAAATGATTCCTCAGAGAGATAAATCGACCAATGGTAATCTCGAATTTTCCATCATACCAAGAGATGAAAACTCCTCACAAAGTGATGAACAGTTCGTGTCAATATCCATTGAATCTTTGGCAGAGTTAATGCAAAACATTCAAAATTCCGCCAACATTAGCGAAGATTTGAACAAAATCTACGATTTTTTTCGACGTATCAGAATCAATTTTCGAATTTTTGATGCATTTTTTAACCTTGTTCAGCTATTATCGAAAGAATTTAATACAAATTTTGACGACAAGATGAAAATGGCCTCAATTATCAACCAAGTTATAATGGATGATGGCATTCTTTCATATCTAATACATGATCATAAGATTTATGAATGGCTTTGGCAACAATTTGATGAACCATCGATCAAAGTCATTACAATTCTATTAAAAGCAGAATACGATACGAGCCCACCATCAAAAACAGTATTTTCTTATATTTCTTCTCAAGATGCAGATAATAAAATTTCAAATGAGTTAAAACTCTTTTCTCAACAACAAGAACTCCATATTAAACCTTACCAAATTACAGATCTACTTAAATTGATCGCATATTATGAAGAATCGATGAATATTTATAAAAATACAATTGAACAGCTAATTTCAATTGCAATAAACTCGAACGATGAGCGTGTACTATGGGATATATTAAATCCTCTATCATGGTTTGCAGATTGTTCAAATAATTCAGGATCAATTATTTATACGAACGGACCATTGATTGAAAAGATATTATCAATACCATATGACCATATTCTATATATAGATGCGATTAATGTTATTATTTATTCAATACGATACGTAGACTATCAAAATTTCCCCTTACAAATTACAAAAAGATTATTAGAATACAGTTTTCCTTTCTTGTTAGAACCGAAAGAAAATATCAAGAAGATATTACAATTAGTTTATAATATGCTACCATTTTTACTTGAAGATGGTATAAATGTAGCAGAATTCTTAATAGATAATGATATAACAAGCCATCTGATTAGTTACATAAATGAGAATTATTCATTTGACACAAAGCGCATTGCAATTAAATTGTTGATAAATATAGGTGCTAGTGCTAGATACGAGAGAAACGAAGCTTATGTAGATAGCATGCTGTTAGAGTTCATTGAAGATAATGTCAGCTTGATTATAAGTGAATCTGCTGGTATTTTCTTTACATTTTTGCAAGTTATTCACCAACAAGCAATAGCAAACAATAAAGAAGAATGGATTGAATTCATTCTAAATAACGATGAAATCATGAATGCTATTGAAGAATATGATGATATCAACGATTTTAATCCAGAAACAAACGGAATTGCAGCACATAGTTTGAATCTTATACTCGGCGATTATATAGAGTAATGTTTGTACAATAAAATATTCATTTCTTAAATTCAAAATAATATGTGTTTGTAAGCAATTGATTTGAAGAATATTGAGGAATATCAGATTTATGACTATGAATCTATTTTTGCCGAATTGTCACGCAGAGCATTGAGCATCATATATAATAGATGCTATTTATATCTATCTAATAATCATATTATGCTACATTTTTAAAATTATTTCATCATAAATAAAATTGGAGAGCAGAAAGATAATATATATATCATTTCGAACATATATAATTGTTTTTCAACTGTTACTTGAGTATTCGCAAACTGCTTTTGCGAACACATAAAAAAAATATTACAATTGCCATAATCGTTTTCTTTTGAAAAATTCTGAAGTGATCGCCTACTAACCTTAAATTATGAATAAAATCATTCTCAAATATAATTAAATTATATTTTAAAATTAAAAATTTGAATGATAATTCAAAATTTCAGGTCCAATTTTAAAAAGTGAATCTTGGAATAGCTTTAATAAAATTTGTTGAACTAATAGCCTTTTATTCATTAGTATGAAATGTTGCACTACTTTAATTTTGGGGAATATTCTTTTTTAAATAGCAATTTCGTTGATTCGGACACTACTAAATTTAATGCAACTTCAGTAACCTTTTATTATCCATGTTCTGATAAGCAAAATTGTTCGGGATTTGAGATCAAACTCAATCCTGGACATTATTTATTTGAAGTCTTTGGAGCTCAGGGCTCTCAAGACAGTGAATCCCAAAAAGGAGGATTAGGCGGTTACGGGCGGGCAGAAGTCACTGCTCCAAAAACAATTCCTTTGTATCTCTTTGTAGGTTCCCAAGGTAAGTGGACGGATAGTGATGCGAGTGAAGCTTCATTCAATGGTGGGGGAAAAGGATACAAATCAGGCCCAGGGGGTGGTGCTACAGACTTTAGAATGTCAGAAAATGACCTCCATACTCGATTTTTGATTGCTGGCGGTGGAGGGGCCCAAGGAGTTGATTCCGATGTGTCAACTACTTCAGAAGGGAGTGTTACTATTACGGGTCCTCCTGATGAAATTGATGATCCTAGTGATGATCCTTTTCAAAAAAGGCTTCATGAAACAACAGCGAGATCAACTCAAGGCGGATCAGGAGGTGGGAAAAATGGAGAGAATGGAAGTAAATTAGATATCACAGGAGGAACCCAAGACTCTGGAGGTAATGGATATATAAATGGTTCATTCGGGAGTGGATGTATACTTCATGAAGTAGGGGCCCATGGAGGATCCGGAGGTGGACTCTTTGGAGGAGGGTGCGGGAAAGAAGGAGGAGTTTCTGGATCTGGTGGCTCTGGCTTTTTTTACTCCGATAATAGAACACCAGAAATATATGCAATTAAAAACATAAAGATTTCTAACGGAAATCTGTCAAGCGGCCAAAATCTTGGCGATGGATATGCAATCATAACTTTGCTTTCTTCGTTTTCAAAAAATTTTCGAAAAAGATTTAGCAATTCACATATAGCTATTATTGTAAACTTTTTATTTTGAAATTTTATCTAACGTTTGAGTTATAACATGATTTGCTTGAGGTAATCCACTATTTCACGTAACGTTATTACTATTCTTTCTGTAGTACACGTAAATTTGGATTGGTATAAAGGTTATATTATTTTGACCTACATATAATTTTCCTAAAATTTATTAAGTTTTTAGATTAATATTTTGGCTTTTTGATAAAACAAGAATTTGTTCCATTTTAGCATCGTATTTGAACTCAAATTTGAACATCATGAAGTCACATAATCAAATTTCTGCTCATTTCAATGGATAGTTTTGAAATGTGTTATTGCGATTTCTGATTACGGAACTTTGATCTCTATAAATGCGATTAATCCATCATTTCTCTTACTGCCAAGGTTCTTGTTAGGATGAAATGAAAAAGAAGATTTTTAATTTTATAATAATTTAATTAGCAATGACATAGTACTAAAAAGGACTTACAAATTCTCACTTTGACGGTGGATAGTGGGGTTGAAGATTAAAGAGTTGATTCTGTCCCAATTGCTGCATTCCTGGCATAGTCATAGACTGGATTGCAGGCATATTACCCATTGAAGCCATACCTGGCATCTGGAACATTTGCTGTCCATTTGGATCTGTTCCTTGCTGTGGGAATGACATTGGGAATCCCTGGTTAGCAGGTGGGAATGAATTCATATCTTGTGGGAAGGAACCACCCATTGGGAATGGCTGGAATCCTGCTGTGGAAGACTTTGTAAGCAATTCGTTAAGAGCACGTTTCCTACGAGCTTTACGATATGTGTAATCTGGATGCTCGCGCTTGAAGTCTTCTTGCATGGCAGCTGCTTTCTGCTTGTATTGGAGCTTGATATCATTTGGTACTTCTTTCCACATCTTTCCAAGAAGTCTTGAAACTTCTGTGTTAGAGAGGCTTGGGTTCTCTTGACGAACCTGAGATCTCATTGCCTGAGAGTACAATATGAAAGCATTTGGTGGGCGATGGGCATTATCGCCTTCGTCCATATCTTGTGCATCACCAGTATCTTGTTGCGGCATGGCCGGAGGCATGGGATTCATCGGCCACTGGTTTGCCGGTGCGCCGTACATTGCATTGGTGCCTTCCATAAAAATTGAAATGGAAAAAACCGCCTTGAGTTTTCAATTTTCCCCGCCATTTTGGACTTTGGCGGGGAAAATAAATATGCTTGTAATTCATAGAGGAATGCAATTTAACAAAAATCATTTGATTTGAATTGAATATTCAAAATTTTACTTTTGGCGGGCTTTTGCCATTTTAAGTCCACTTTAGACTTCCTCAATTTTTCAAAAATTGAATAATTACTTTATCGTATAAACTATTAGCTACTCGTATATTTATGTACTTTTTATCATAGAAAGTCAAAAAAACCTCTTTTGATTGAATGGAAAGGGACGTTGATTAAAGTCAAATCAATAAAACGTTCACCAAATTCATCTTAGAATAATTTGATTTTGTTTGAGTTGGAATTTTTTTATCGATTTGATTCTTTGAGGGAATTCTGATTCTACAACTCTTTTTCATATAACAAAATCTATAGAAAAACTGAACATCAACTCATTTCTTTGTTAAACTCGTTTCAATATTTGGTCTTTGATAAATCTTCGAAAAAACATTCTTTTCTTTTAATGGCAGCAAATTCATGACATAGGAGTTTTATTGCTGAGTTATGGTATTGATCTCATACGGTATATCGATAAAGCTTCTTATTATTGCAAGATTTTTTAATAAAAAAGCATCCTTCAATTTATGTGCAACCATAATATATATACTATATTGCCAAACTCTTCGTTCCTCTAATTATAAAAATGGAATCTGGATTTCAATCTCCATACTGTGAAAATATATTGACGAAATTGAGTTACATTTTCATTAAACATCATCGAGAATTTCAATGAGAAATGAGCATTTGTAAAGTGGAAAATCAATAAGAGGTGACCGTTTTTTTCAAATCACATAAGTAAACGGTCACCCAAAAATTGAATTAAAAGTGACGAAATTAAAATTCGATAAAGGCGCCAAATGAAACGATCTTCCCTCCAGTTGTCTTCTCATGCCCCTACTAGAGCTCGCACACGTGTCTCAATCAAGACCTCCCAGACTTCTTGGACAGAAGCTGAAGATAACTTACTTACAAAGCTGATGGATGAAGAACCTAACATTCCACCAGATGTATTAGCCATGAGCTTCCCAGAAAAGACACAACAACAGGTTATGGATCGCTGGAATAAAGTCTTGAATCCAGAGCTTATTAAGGGAAGCTGGACTTCCGAGGAAGACGAGATCATCACCAAATGGGTCCAAGAACATGGCCCTAGAAATTGGTCTTCCCTTGCTGCTACACTTCCTGGCCGTCTCGGAAAGCAATGCCGTGAAAGATGGGTTAATAACTTATCCCCCGATCTTAATCACCAACCATGGACAGAAGAAGAGGACAGAATTTTAATTGAGCATCAAAAGAAGTGGGGTAACAAATGGGCAAAAATTGCTACATTACTTCCAGGTCGTACTGATAACTCTGTAAAGAACAGATGGAACTCTTCATTAAAGAGGAAACTGGAAAGAATAGCTCTTGGCCAAGCCCCAGTACATAAACGTGGAAGGAAGCCAAAGAGAGCTTCTAATGCTCCAGATGTAGCTCCAACAACAGAATCGAAAGGAGAGATCAGTATTTCTGGCGCTCAAACGGAAATAGTTGTACTAGCTCCGGAAGAACCAGAGAAAGATGAGCCAAAGATAATCGAAAAGGAAGAAAAGAAAGAAAAGGTATCCCAATCAGAAATGCCAAAACCAGACTTAAGCAACGTAGAACTTTCACTTCCAAGCCCTGCTGGAATACAAACACCTTTACTTTTCTCACCATTTATGCAGATGTCACCGATACTTATGAAGGATAGTCCATTTTACCCACTTTGGTCACCAGGAAGTAACAGTGACATGAAAGGTGCTCTTCTCAAATCACCACTTCCATTCTCTCTCGATTCGAACGATGCTCTTAATCCAAAACCAACCGAATTCAAGATCTAAACTGTTTATAACCGCTTATTTTATGTAAATCTTAACTCTGTTTAACAATCTCTCTTTTTCTTCATTACTTTGAAGATATCGATTTTCTTCTTTTTGAATCTGGTTTCTTTGGAGCAAACCATGAGCAATTTTATTTCGCTTCAATCTGAAATTTACACATGAATCGGAAACATATTTCATAATGCAAGTGGCGTAATTAAAATCTGTCAAAAAAACTTAAGATTAGAAGTTGCTCACGAATCATACAACTCATTTATGATGTAGTGAGCTCATCGGTAAAAGAACTAGATCGAAATTAGAATCGATTACCTTTTTCTCTTTGATTTTAATAAGAAAAAATCGAAATATCAGTGAAATGCTACAAAATTATTTCTATCGTGGTATTACCGATTTTTGAGAAAGTGAAATTTTTTTTACAACTTTTTTTTTGACATGGAGTCCATTTATCAACTATGTGCACCTAATTTAAACATTAAAAATGCACAAAAAGTTGTAACGGATTTGAATAACTTACGAAATTCCGTAACTGCAAAGTATTATGAACAATTAGATGAAGAAAATAAAAATTATTTACTCGACTTTCTTGTGAAAGCTCTTCCTGAAATCTGGGAAATTGGATCATCTCAGATTAAGTTTGCTGCTGCAGCTGCTTATGGAGATTTATTTATTAGATTAGCTCCATTTGAATACAAAACATTAACTGAACGTGTTATAAGGGAAATTTCCTTCCTCACATCAGGCCTTGTTCTTCAACTATCCGGCGTTTGCTTCCTTTCTAAGTTTTATAGTTCAGTCGATTTTGGCGAAATTCTTAATAGTACACCATTTATGCACTTGTTTAAGTTCGAAGATACAGATAGAATACCAAACTTAGTCAAATACATGAAAAAGCTTCCAATTGTATTTTTACAAAATCTTGCAGAATATTTTGTTCAATTATTTACATTTACACCATCAAATAGGCATTATGCTGCGGCAATATCTATACTTACTGAAGAGGAGCCAGAAGAATTCATTAATATCATAAAAGATGAAACTCCACCACAATATATCGGTCAATTCTTTTCAAACAAGGCTCCAACATTTCCACATAGCCTTCTTGACGAATACAAAACTCAATTAATGGAAATTATTACAAATCCCGAATCTACAAATTTAGATTACGAAATGTCATGTGTAACCTTAAGTCTTTTCATACGCAGTGAACAACTCAATCTAGATGACATAGAAAAGCTAATTACCCGCGAAATGGTCCAAAATTCGAAAGTAATTTCATCATTATTAAAATTACCAATTAAACCAGAAATAATTCGCGAGTTATTTACTTTCACACCAAGTATTCCTCAAGAAAAGCCTGAAGAAGAAGTCGAAGCATCACCTTTACTCGGCCAAGTTGAAGAAAAACAAGTTTCAGCACAAAATCCACATGAAGTAAACTTAGATTTCGGAAAATTCGAATGTCCAAAGAATTTAATTGTTCCATTAATGGAGTATTTCTCAGCAAATCTCATCTTTACACCAGAATTAGTTTCATTAGTTGGAAATACTCTCGATGACAATGATCCAAACTACAGTGATGCATTAAGAACACTTGGAGATGTTGCCAGAAAGCTTCCTTCAGAAGAACTGAATCGTTTGCTCTTCAAAGCCTTTTCAATTGTTTCAAACAACTGGATTCACTCACTTTGGACATTGAAACTGATTGGCCAACTCGATTTCACGAGAATGTCAAAGGACATGACAGAAAAAGCCTTCAAAATCATTGAAGACGCTGTTATGTCACAAACTGACAAACTTCACATAACCGGCTGCCAAACGGTTTTGAAAATTAAGAACACATTGCCTTTCGACCAATTTAAGATTTTCATTGACAAGTTCATAAGAAAACTTGACATTTTCAATGAATTCGATTTCGAGAGGCGTGTTTCATTTTTGGCAAAAACATTTTACGTAATGACAGGCGGCTGGACATTATCTTTCATGCACATTGCAACGATGGTTAGTGAAGCGATGAGTATATTCAATTTCAGTCCAAAGGTTTTAGAAGGAATTTTCTATATCCTTGCTGTTTTCTCGAGCAACATGAAGAATATCGAGAACACGATGTATTTCACTAGATACGCGTTAGGTGTCATTGTTTCACAATACGAACAATTCACAGGCTACAAAATGGAATTTCCTTTGACAAGTCCTCTTTCTAAGGCAATTATAAAGAATGACATTCCGCTAAGGAAAGTTGACAGTGATATTACACAGCACCCAGAACATGGACACAGACAAGTTATGTCTACTTCTCTGACAGCTCTTATTTTCTTGTCAAAAGTGCAATGGGGTGAAATGCCTGTAGATAAAAGTGACTTGGTACTTTTGACGAATTTTGCCACTATTTTATGTCCACTTTTCACTGATGAGTGCATTAGATTGGCAACTGTTTTACTTGATAACCAGTCCGCCGACAAAATTGCATTCGAAGAGTTCATAAAAGAGTGCATAAAATACGTGAGAACAAAGCGTCAGAAACTTGGAATTATTACTGTCATTGAAATGGCTTCTAAACGATTGGAAATGAATCTCGATGACTTTGTCGAAGTCGATGATATCGCAAGAGATATCAGGAAGTTCATTTTGGCCATGAAAGATTTGGATTTCGTCACAATAAGAACTGTCAGAAATTTCCTCAAAAAATACGATTATTTGATCAGTGATTTGCAAGCTGAAAAAATCTGTATAGAAAACGAAAGATATCTCATTAGAACGCAATTGGAAAATAATAATGATACACCTGTAAACATGCCAATTATCAATGAGCATCCCGAAGCTTTGGATACAGTTAAAAGAGCTCAAATCGATGTAGAAGAAAGCGAAGACATGTCAATTGACGAAAGCCAAGATTTCGCTTTTGACGAAAAAGAATTCAATTCTTTGACAATTCCTGACAGTTCTGATGTCAGAAAATACCTTCCAACATTGACACCGTTTATAGCTCTTAAACTAGAAATCCCTGATTATGTTCTTTCTCTTCCAATTATTGTCCACACTTGTAATTATTCAAGAGCTTTGTTACCGAATAATTTACTTGAAAAATTCCTTGAATTCGCTTTGAGAAAGAAAGATGGAAGAGCTGTTTTGGCTGTCCTCAGAGTGATGACATTCAACAAGTACTATTACCCTGTTGAAAAGCTTTTAACTAACAAGATCTTCGAGAACAGCAGATATTTGTACATGATTTTGGCCATTTTATCAATGAAATACCAAACAATCAATAGTTTGCCTGATTTCGCTCTTGATTACATCAAAAGCATCACTTCTGATGATTTCGTTGAGTTCGTAATCAATTCAACGAGATCAACAAGAAGGAATGCCACTGCATTAATCAAGTTTGATCCTCAATATTTCAACAGTAAACTAGAACCAATTGAAAAATGGTCATCAACACAACTCAAAAATCTGTTTTGGATTTTCCCATTGATGAAATCGAAGGTCACAGCAATAATCCGCCATATTTTGGACATTACAAGGAACTCTAGAAAGAAGAGACCAATAGCACTCCATCTCTTGGCAGCATGTCTAAACGACAGGAAAGAAAAAGCTCTAATTAAAACTGCTCATGCTGAAATTCGTCACTTTTTGTTGGATGAAAAACCAGAATTTGACAACACTTGCCAAGTTTGGATTCTTGCATTGGTTTCCATTGTCTGCCATCGTGTTCAAGGTGATGAAAGCGGTGCTGATGACTTCATAAAGATGTCAAATGCCGTTGGAAATCAATCAACATTTGGTGGATTACTTTTATTAGAAATTAACGGACAAAATTTGACAAATGTGAAATTCATTTCACAACTCTTGTATTATTCACAGAACTCGATGTATTTGCATGTTCTCCAATACCTCAGAAGAACTACTGAAGGAAATGCCATCACATTACCTCAAAACTTGATTGATTACATCATGAAAGCAAAGAAGAATTTGTCGTTTATGGAAGCAAAAGAATTATCACTTTTATTGATTCAACATTTATCAAAGAAACCAACGAGAGAAGCTACTGTTGAACTATTCAATCAGTTTGTTGCAATGGCCACCACTACTCCTCAATCGTGTTATTCCACTTTGTATGTTCCATTCTTTAAGAGTTGTTTGAGTTTGTTCAGATCGAGTTTCCCTGAAAACAAAAAGATTTTGGATCTTATACAGCCATGTTTCGATTTACAGTATGTTCCTTTACCTGTTGTAGATCTTTGCTTCTCTGTTTGCCAGAAGATTAAAGATGTCGAGCAAGGTTTGTGTCTCTTCCCTCCTTATTTGAGGCAATTCACTTCTTCCATTACATATAACGTTGCTGAACAAGCAGCTCTTTTCTCATTGAAACACGTGAAGTCTGAATCACCTGATGTATCTGTTTGGGTGCCTATTTGCAAGAGATTCTTTGACTCTTTCTATGCAGCTGTTTCGATATTGAAGAGACAGAAATCTACTGTTGATATTTTGTCTTCTTGCTTCAAAAATTCAGGAAAGAAATCTCTTGAAATGGTTTTAGATGCAAAGAAGAGACCATTTTCTATCTTCTACGCTGTACTTGACCAGAGTGATGCAACACCAAAAGAACTTGATAACTTCATCAATGAAATGATCAAGGATCTTCATTAATCTTCTCCTATGCGTTTTATTCTATAATATATTTTGTTTTGATTTCGGTTAATAAAATATTGAATACATTTTTAAAGTTTCATTTTATTTACGAATATGATTTTGATTTAAATATAAAATTATCACCATACTTAACAGATAAATAGTCTTATAAATGTTTTTCATTTCGTATTAATCCTAAGGTTCAAATATCATTATTTTATGTCGAAGTTTTCATTTTGAGTTTCTTTGAAAAATTTGGCAAATTTGCCAATATCGATTTCTAATTGCCTGATGCATTATTAACAAATTTGCCAAATGGAGAAATTGAATTTATGGCAGAAAATTTTTCAAATAAGATTTTTTGGGAATGGTGAGAGTTGCAGCTCTCACAGCAGAAAACATTTTCTCAAGAATCGTACTAGGATTGATTTTTATAGGTGTTCAAGTATTCATCAATATTTGCTTTTTCATTCCACTTTATCAAAAATCAGAAGAAACAAAGCATGTTTTTAAAATAATATTTCCGATTTGGGTTATCTTATCAGTTCTTTGGCTTTGGTCTTATATTGTTAGTTCATGGATTGATGCTGGCTCAGTTGAAAGTGCTTTACTAGATTTTGGAATCAAGAAAGAAACTCTTCCGTATCTACCACCAGAATTTGATGACTTCGAGCGATGTCTTAAATGTAATTTGCCAAAACCAGAACGTACTCATCATTGTCGAATTTGTAACCAATGCTATTTTAGATTTGATCATCATTGTTCTCTGATAGGAAACTGTATTGCATTATACAATATGAAAGCTTTTATGCTATTTTGTTTTTATTCAAGTTTATTATTATTGAATTTGGGAGTTTACCTATTTATAGCAGCGAAAATGCTCAAATTAATAGAGCAAAAGGCAGCTGCTATGTTATTTATGATAGATTTACTTTTTATCATATTCATATTTTTATTTGCCTGCTCTTACGTTCCAATGGTGTGTTTAAATGTTACAACTTTGGAACAGATAGGAGGAATTGATACAACTCGTTTCGATAACGGGAAAAGGCATAATTTTGAAGAGATATTCGGAAAGAACATATTATTTTGGGTTTTACCGACAAGACCATCAATATCTGGATTTACATGGTCTGGTAGATCTGATATTGATGAAATGTTTCAAGATAATTAATAAAAAAATTCTGTTTGTAGTTTTCTATCAACAAAAAGATTATTTAACCACTTAAATCCGTAATCAAATACTTTATTCGAAGGTTATTCAGCATAATCATTCGAATATTAGCAGAAAAATGTTTGATCAAATTAAAGGTTACGAATTATAGCTAATTAAGAAGATTATTACATTCAGTATTCCATATAACTGAGGGTATAACAATGTTGTTTGTTCTTTCTTTACAATTGATCAATTTTGATTTTCAAAAGCGTGATGATTAAATTTCATACGCTAACATTGTGTCACTAATCGATAAGTCCCTAACGAACGAAAATTAAAACCTCCTATATAACATTTTCGAAATCTGTTAGAAATCGTAAATCACAAAAGTGACAACAACAAAATTAAAATGTAAATACTAATTGTTTCAATAGCGTTATAATTTAAACGATAAGAATTTTTTGAATTCCATTTTCCCGCCATAAATTTCTGAGGATACAAAATTAACTCATGGAATATGCACGGCTAAATAATATTAGTTGCGAAATGGAGGGTAAATTTCCTCTCAATTTTTTTTAGAAGTTTGTTGTTAATTTAATATGGCGCATGTTCATTTCGAGTCCAGTTTAGCACCATTTACAGAAAAACCACTCTTCGAATATAGTATTCCTCTAATAGATCGTCAGGTGCCAGGAATTAACATTGAAGCCCGAAATGACTTGATCGCTATTATGAAAGATTACATTCAGAAAAGGATTACATATGATACAGCACGCGATAGGTTTATAAAAATAACAGGAAGCTCAACTGCAATTGATAAAATTCGTGATGTAATTGAAATTCCAGATCAACCAATAAAGAGCCAAGAACTTCCAGATGATCCTGACGGAAAGAATCGCCGTAAAATGCAGAAATGGTCAACCTATGAAGATAATCGATTACTTGCAGCTATTTATCGATTCGGAATTGATAATTGGGCCCTCATTTCAAAATTTGTCGGTAATAATCGCAGTCGTGCACAGTGTACTCAACGTTGGACACGTTGCTTGAATCCAAGAATTTGTAAAGAAACTTGGGAACAGAATGAAGATCAATTACTTCTTAACTTAGTTGCCCGCTTTGGAGATCATTCATGGACAAAGATAGCAGAATTTATGGGTAATCGCTCAGATGTTCAATGCCGTTACCGTTATTCTCAGATAAGTAAAGAAAATTCACCAAACCAGGAATCATATCACGTTGCATTCCCATCAATGATGCAAAATCGTGCTATGGATTCTGGCGCCCTTCAATTGCAGCAGCCAAAGATTGCAAATATGCAGTTCCAGCACAGATACTCTATGCCTGTTATTCAGGTTATTCATACATACGTTTATCAGCAACCTCAAGTACAAGGTCAGGTTATGGTTCCCATGAACGATCAACAAGGTATGGCATTAAATGCTGTCGAGCAGCCCAAATCGAACGAGTTGGATAACTTCCTTATAAACTTCCAACAACAAGGCAACTAGTTTAATAAACCTAAATTGTAATTTTTTAGATTTCAAATCATTACAAATTTTTTTGATAAATATAATAGTACTTAATAGATAAACAATAAGCTTCCGATATGGCAGTATTGGGTTATCAATTTTGTAAAGATAAGATATTCAAATCCAAATTGTTGGCAGAAATTTGTGATACTTCTGAAATATTTTCAATTTGATTTTCGGTTGGAACCTAATTTCCGAGTTATTTCGTGATTCTTGTACAATCAAACAAGAAATCGGCTCAGATTTGGAATACCGAAACACCGTCAGCAATTTAAGAAATTTGGATCATATTTCGTATTAACTGTTGAGAATATATTGTCAGCATTATTTATCTTTATAATGGCGACCTGTTTTTAGTTCCAGTCGATTCTAGATCTATGATGTTGATTGGGCTCTCCTATTTTATACCTATCTCTTCATTATATTATTCACTCAAATGACAAAATCTAAATGTATACAAAAATAACTGCTTTAATTATCATTTTTGTCAGATGTGTGATGTAGTTACCTATAATTGTCAAACTTTTTACAAAAAAAATATCCCAAAATATTACAGAGTAAACGTTTGTTAACAAAACTCATTGTATAATATTACTTCTAAAATATATATGTAATAGCAATTGTGTATTCCTTATATCATATTATAATTCTAGATATATAAATTTCCAAGTGGTTATAATTTTCAAAAAGAAAGTAATAGTTTACAAACAAAATTAGAGCTTTTGTGGACATTCACGTAGAAGCCTATCAAGCTCTTGCTGATATAGTTTTTCAGCATCACTAATACGTTGATCTTCCATATTGCAAATCTGTTCCCAGTGTTTAACTTCTAATTGATGTTCTTCGTCAGAAGGCAATTCTCTTTCTTCAACTTCTTGGTTAGGCGAATAACAATTTATAAAATCTGCGATTTCAAATGGTGTGAGAGGTTTATCTGGTAGATTTTGAGCTGTTGTCATATTAACTGTACATTTAATTTCGACTGTTCCTGCAATTTTTGGAATCTGTCGTATTTGATCATAATTCCCTTTCATATATAAAATTGCAACCGTTATTTTAATTTCCCTAAATGAAATATTAATCTATTATCAACTCATAGGATAGCGCAATTTTGCAACCAAAAACTGGCCCAAACTCATTATTTGGCAAAATTTCAAATAAAAATTTGATCAAAAATAAGAAAAATCAATGGATAATATAGTAAAAGATATTTAATTCTAAAAATCTATAATAGTTAATAACATTAAAGGTTACAAATCACTATAATTTTTTTGATAATCTGTAAGAGTAAAAAACAAATTTAATTATCAAGGTTGCAGTATGTGTTAACTGCATGTGTGAACATCTCTGCAACTTCTGGGTCGCAAGATCTAACTTGGAATTTAATATTTCCATTTCTTTCCTGGAACATTCTTATTAGAGTTCCGCATGATGTATTATTGACTTCTACATCCAATGCAGCAAAGTATGTTCCATTTTCGAGTTTCATTACTGATCCTGGTCCAGAAGAAGCAGAATTTAGCAATCCTGCAATATTTGGCGCAGAATGATTTGGAGATGGGATATCAATCTGTGAGTTATATTTGGAATTGCTGATCAGATTCCATTTCTTGATGAAAGTATCGAAGTCCATTTTCATGATTGTTGAAAAGTCACCGATTGATATAGGTAATGTGAGATATTCACTAAGGTTATCTCCTTCAAAATTAACTCTGATTTTAGAGAAAAGTGGCTTAACCATGAGTAAAGCGAACTCTATTTTCTGCTCTTCACCTGCCTGAACAGAGCGGTTTGTCTTTTGAGAGAAAACTTTTATCTCAGGTATGTCTTCAAAGTTGACCTGTAGATTATTAATGGGATTGGAAGATTTGTTTTTGATATAAAATGTTATCATGGAATACTTACCATTAATTCTTGTATCATAACTAATTTCAACATCAGAGTTTTGGAAAATTATGATTTTCATCTGATCAGTGATTCCAATTGATTCTACTTCGTTCATGAAGAGTTTAAGAACCCTTAGCATTGCTGCCTTTGTTGCTGGTTCTGCTAAAATTTGATTATTTGAAAGTTTTTCAATGACCATCTTATAATTTTCAATATTGTCATGTGCAAATTGACTTGAATTGGACTCTAACTGTGCAAAAACAAAGTCCTTATATTCTGAACAAGTTAAGTTGCATTCTTCAGCTACAATTTTTTCGCCCATGACTTTGAATAAAAGTGACTTTTTTGCACAGAAAAACAACCGATAAATTTTTCGATGAAACATGAAAAATATTGATATAACATTAATAGCGATTATATGAATGTAAAAGCATTTTATTCAATAATTTTGAGAATAAACTTCAATTAGCGACCATATAGAATTTGTTAAAATCAGAATAATTTGCTGATTAATTCTAAAATTAAATTGAATGCGTTTTTCAAGATCTCAAAACTCAGCAGACAGATTCGAAAAAAATATCATCCATTTGTTTTAGAATCATCTAATGACCATATCCACAAAATTAGAAGCAAATCGGAATTGGGAATCTTAGTTTTACAACCTTTAAGGGTGCACCCGAATGTACGTTTATTTGAGAGGAGGAGGATTACCCTCTCAATTTTGAGGGATTCGTTAGTTTATTTTCTCGATGAATATGCAATAAAATTTGATTTTTACCTTATCAATATACTTCATATAATATACACATGTTCATGTAAAAACTTTTTTCCAAAATCCTCAGGAATTAAGAGATTTTTGAATTTTAAGAATTTTTTTCGAATTTTTTCGAAAAAAAAATATTTTCAGAACAGCCTTAACGGCTAAGATTTAGGAACAATGTTAAGTATCAAAAAGAAAGGAGGTATGATATAGACAACATATATCGTTGAAGGTTGAAAAAATCTCTAATATTTGAGCCCAAAATTTCAAATTTTAATTTTTTGAAAAAAGAGGCCACCCGTATGTACGTTTATTTGAGAGGAGGATTATATTTTTGAAAGGGTGAAACATTATGAATATGTTAATTATATAATAATATGTATTATTATAAAAAAGAAAAAATAAAGCACGTTAAAATTTTTCTTTCTTGATTTTTTACAAAATCTACTTAGAATTATGCAAAATATGACTAAATAATTATAAATTTCAAGTTAAATTTTAATTTTGATAAATAATTTAAATTTCAAAATATCAAGTTCAGTTCGACTATGTATGTAGTAATTCCTCAATAAAGTGCCAAAACCCTATTAAAATATATGAACATTTTCAACATTTTAATGTTTTTATTTAAAGATTTGATGGAATATGAGCTTCAAACAATTATTATGTAAATAAAAATAATTAAATATATGTATTTATTCGTATTACAACCGTAGTAAGTCGATTCTTCCTTTCTTCTACTGAGTTTTGAATTTGATTTCGAATTGTAAAGAGATTCAAAGGGAAAATACTAGCGGATAAAAACTACCTCCATGAAAGGGTCATAATGGACTCAAGTTGTATTTTTTGATATTTTTTGCTTTTCGAGCCTAAAATAGGTAGCCAAGATAATGCCTAAAAATAAGGTTCTAAATTCTGAAGTTTACATGATCCTCTCGTGTGCACCCTTAATTCAAGAGTAGGTGACAAAAGTGCATACTCTTAAATTAACCTTAAATGTTGATTTTTCGATATTTTCGGTATTAACCTTATTGTAAATTTTTCCGGTGATAAATTTATCACACTGAGGTTATTTTTCCGGTGAGATTTTTAACCTTGATTTAATGAAATTAATATATATAAATTTTATTATTTTTAATTTCGAATGAGTATAATAAAATATTTTTTTATATCGTCATAACTCTCATCACTGTTGTGATTCCAAATGCGATTATTAAGGTTCAAGTCGCTAATGTTTTGAATGAAGATAGAGCAGTAAGAATTCTTACAAGGGCAGGTAATCAGATTGTTGAGCAAAGAGCTTCAAAACACGATGAATGTTTGAAATTAATTCAACACATTTTGGAAATTGTCGAAAGCCGAAGGATTGAACCTAATGTCCTTATTCCATCTTTGAAGGCAATATTAAATTTGGCACAAAGAAGTTTAAAGGAAGAGTAAGCAAGATTAGATAATTTGGACTTTTTTAAAAATTAATGAATAAACAGTATATTTTTGAAGTGTAAGCTTATTTACCTGAAGCTATATTACTTAATATAACATTCAAAGTATTATTGCTATTTATTGGAGAACAAATTTATGTAATTTTCACATGAAAATTGATAAATTTGTATTTCCTTATGATAATCAATTTTTGTATTTGTAGAGAGTCTCCCTGCATGATATCAAGACTTGGCTATAAGTAGTTAGTATGGGTTAGTTGGGTACTGTGGCACTGCGCACCTACTTACCCATTATATGTGAATTTGACACTTTACGAAACCGCTAACGTATATTTTACAACACAAACGACAACACTAACTTAACCTTAAATATTTACAAAGCTGCCAACCACTTCACCCCACTAACGAACTCACTAATGAAAAAATAAACGTTCTCATAAATTTTCTTCTATATCTTCATCGTCAATGTTAACTCTATTGTAGTCATACTTGAAGTCATAAAGTTTCTCAAGTTTTGAAATGCATAGTCTTGTTAACTTACCTTCATCATCATAAGTTTTTATAAAACTACCATGACAATCTTTATACACAGTCAATGAAAAGTCAACTGGTCTAGGATGAAGTGTAAAGAACATGTTATGCTCAGGAAGGAAGAATAAATGTTTAAATGTATGTTTGTTATACTGTGGAATTCGAATGAGTTGCTTTTGTTCTGTCATTTACATCCAAATAAAAATTTTCAGTAAAAATAAAAAATAAACTTAAAAATTAATGATATCACCACTCCCACACGTATGAAACATAGCGCAAAAATAAATTTAGGTGAAGCGGTGAGATCTCACCTCTTTTTTCACCTGTTTTTTCACCCTATTGAATTCATTACTTTATAACTCTCTTCCTTTCTCCAACTCTTCTAACTTCTTCCTAAGTTCAGCAATGTTGTCCTCATGAAGTTTAATCTTCCTTAATATACCTTCTTTATCTAATGGTTGCTTTATCTTTCTAAACTGAACTCTACCATCCTTCATAGTATGAATGTAAAAACCTTCCGGAATAGTTCCTGATTTAATGTATTCTACCAAAAACTTTTGTTTCATTGCTTCAGTGACTTTATTTGTCATTTCAATCAAATAAAAATTTTAATATTAAATAAAAATAACGTTATTTTTTCAGTAAGGAAACGCAGGAGTTTTACGATTTATTTGAGGAGTAGGTTCTGGTTTAAATGTTGGAGTCGGTTTAGGAGTTGACTTTTGAACAGGAGTTTGTACTTCCATAGGTTCAGGAGTCATTGAAGGTTTTGCTTGTGAAGGTGTCGGAGTTTGTTTAACTTCAGCTACTTCAGTATTATTTACAACATTTGCTTTATTTCTTTTCAACATCATAACTGCTCCTGCTGTAGCTAGCAAACCTAGTGGGAGACCATATCTTATATAAGGACTTGACCAAATGCTATTTTTGACAGGAGCTGGTGGAACACCTAACCTTGGTGAAACTGCTCTTTGCCATTGTGCAGCTCGTAAGAAATATTCAATAGGTGCTCCATAATCGTTTGGTAAAGTTTGTTTCATAGATGGTGAAGGTTCACGAGAGCTTGATGAAGAACTCATTTATAAGCTTTAAAAATAAACGTTCATCCTTTATTCCTCACTGTCGTCCGTAGCTAAGTTATAGTCATCTAATCTTATTATGGGGATTCCATTAGCACGCACCTGAATGGCAAAGCAACAATCCCTCATAAATCCAATAAGTGGCTTTGGTACATTTTCAGTTGCTAGTTCAATAGGTCCTTTAACAGACAATTTGTATGTTATTGGAGCAGTAGATGTTTGACCTTGCTGGAAGCAAAAGTCCACTTCTGTTGGAAAACCACATAAGAAATGTGTGTTGTCATAACTATCCCATTTATGTTCCACACTACCATCATCCACCAATGACCTCATAACATCTTCATTAAATCCTATCATATCATTGTTTGTATTGCAAGCGTTCGCAACCATTTCATAAAATACAGGTCCATATGATTTTTCAGGTTCTGCAGGCATATTTCCATAAGCTCCCATGGAAAGCTGAAGATATTTAAACTTAGGGTTCTCAAAATTAACATAATAGTTGTCTTTCTTTCTAAATAGTGCCCAAATACTTTTAACATTAATAGGCGTATAAGCTGCTGTAAATGTTGCACTTGAACTATCTGTATTCTTTGAGAATGAACCGTCCATAGGAATCCAATCCATAACTTTAACAGGAAAACATAAAGCCTCGTTTGTATAATGTTCTACAAGTTCTGTATAAATGTTAGGGTCTAAAGAGAATGACTTTGGATGAATGAAACATTCATTAAAATCCATCTTTGTTCGAAATAGTTGCTGGGTTACAGTTGTAATAGTAACTGTTCCACTAGCTTCTACTGCCTTCGTTATCATAGTGAATGGTTCATTCCATGGAACAAATTTATTTGTCGGTGGATTTGAATCTGAAGCAAATGCAACTTTAAGAGTTGGATTGAAAGCAATGATATCATTTACAGATATAGATGTGCATTGTAAGGCGTCGCTACTGAACTTTACTTTAAGCTGAATGTTTCCTGCAAAAGCTGGAATAAATCGAATAGCTTCTAATGGAAGGAATCTTCTAACAGGAATTCTTAAACGAAGCTTAAAATCAAATGATTTTCCTGCTGTAATTGGACCACTAACAATTTGTCCTGTTCTGCATGTTCCCGAATGACTCCATACATCTTCATGTCGAGTCTTTGAGAAAACATCTACTTTCTTTATTTGTTCGGTAGTTTGTGAGTTTGAAGTTATATATGCTTCTTCTCTTGCGTTGTCTTGAGAATATACGATACGACCATTTGCAAGGATTTGATATCCAGCAACTGCATAGAAAGCGTCATCGAAACCAATCCAAAATCCTGGTGGGTTTGTTTTATTGGAACCTGAACCAATTTCTTTATCTACAATAAATTGACCTTCCATTTTATACGTAATGAATGTATTGTAAAGGTCCAACATATTTTCACCAGGAGGTGAGAGATTGAATGTTACCCATGTGTTATCTTTAGCAGTTCCAGGTTGTGATGGAATCTTTGCGTCAGAATATTTTCTATTAGTGTCACCAATTTGAACTGCATTGTCTATGATATCGAAATATGAGCGAATCTGATGAATATGCTCTGCTGGAGTAAATTCGTTTAACTGTTCGTTCTGCATGTATTTACTTCGGATAAAAATATCTATTTACTTCATTATTCTCACTCTTCTTCTTGGCATTCGTGGTGGAAGTTGTTTCTTGACATTTTCAATGAACTGTACATTCTCTTTTGTCTCAACTTCTTTCACTGGCGGGTCAGGGTTCTTTGACTCGGTTTGTTTTTCAATGAAATTCACAAACTTTGCAATAAGCTCTTGGTTCGTTATTGAAAGTACATCTGGCTTCTTTTCTTCTTGTTCTATTGACTTTTCAGTTTGAATAGAAGGCTTAATGGGCTTCGGGACTTCACCCTTGCCATACACCTTAATGTTGTCGCTTTCTGCATTCGCTAATGGAACCTTTCTTTTTCTTACGTATATTTTACCATCTTTACTCTGACTTACGTAATAGAAAGGATGTTGTATTCCTCTGGCGTCATTTAATATAATAGACTCTCGCTCTGATTTTGACAAGCTCATTTTACATCGGTTAAAGTTTTAATTTTGTTTTTTATCTGCAGTCAAATGACTCAGACAAGCCCTACGGACAAGACCCAAGGGGTCATAGATGTTGAAGCATTGAAGAAAGAAATTCGTGAGCAAATTTTATCCGAACTGAAGGAACAAAAACAAGAACAAAAGCCAGAGAGACCAAAGAGAAAACTTAGTGAAAAACAACTTGCTGCATTAGCTGCTGGAAGACAAAAGAACCCACGTTTGCTGGCGAAGAAAGCTAGAGAAGAAGCTGAAGCAAAAGCTAAAGAAGCTGAAGCAAAGAAAGAGTAAATGGTTTATTTTTATCCGAATTAAATGTATAGACAAATACCTTTATCTGTTGCGTTCAGTAGTGAAAACCCTGACGTCAAAATAAAGGGGAACAGAGTAACGTTTAAGTTTCCAACAGACTGGATTGTGAACATAAATGAAGAGAAGTACATTGGCATAACATCTATGTATATAACACGTGCTTTCAGAAAGGTTGACTTTATACTTCAAGTCGAGATAGAAAATGACGAACAGTCTTTAAGCGCCCAAAACATTCACATATACAAATACTTTAAAGACGATACAACATTGTTGCAATGTATGATTTCATTTAATGAGATGTTCGAGAAAAAGTTCAACATTGAAGTACAAACTTTACAGCCTTTACGTGAGTTTCTTGCACAACTGAAGGAAGAAGGTAGTCGGCCACAACTTATAGACTTTCATTATGAATTTAATGAAAATGAAGATGGAACTCATGACTGTCAATTCATTGTATTCTCACCATTCAATGAAGTAGCTAAAAAGAAAAAAAATCCATTACGTATAAGATTTCAAATCTCTGAACCAAATGATGACTTCAAAAATGTTTTCAATTATTATGCAATGCTTCCGAGGAAAAATGAATTTTCAAAGATTGTAACACCTGGCATTTGGGATAGAAAGCAAGCTATATTATATTCAAACTTAAGTAAGGGAGTTGAAAATGAGTTCATTGGTCATACAAGAACTTCACCACTGCCAAATCCTAAGTATTACAAGCTTACTGGCTTCAATCGTGAGTTTTGGATAGACATGTTCTCCACTCATGACCATAAAGCACCTGTTTTGCTACCTCCAGACCATAAGGACTGTCTCTACATTGAAGCACAACTCTTAAACTCTACCATCGCAGTATTGTAAATGACCTCATGGGCTTCGCCCTTGCCGCTAGCGGCTTATTTTTATCACGAATGACCTCATTGCTGACAAAAATAAATGACCTCAGAACTTCAACTTACGAATAAAGCTTGTTTTAGTCTGAATAGAAAAGTTAAACTTTTCAGCAAAGCAAGGTAGAAGACTTACATAAGTCAAATCCAATCTCTTGACCGTCATAAAGTGCTTTATATAACTTCATAACACTGAACTCAGAGTCTTTGTCAAATTTTCCTTGCGGAACCATTAAACCTTTATCTTCATCATAGAAACACTGAACAGAGTCAGGAAACATTTCATTAGCGGTTAAAGCAATAACATCTTGCTTCACGCCTTTCATTCTGCAGTGAAATGCAACTTCATTTAAATCATTCGTGAGTAAGTCTATGTAAGTCTTCTTTCCACAAAATATTGACTTGTATGCTAAACTTTGTTTTCCAGGTGTTGATTTCTGCAAAGTCGCTATGAAATTGACCAAGGTTTTTACCAATGAGAACTCTTCCATAACGTTTCTCAAACTCTTCAGCTAAACGAGGGATATCTTCATTGTAGAGATGCATACTGTCGGTATCGCTATAAAAGATGTCCATTCCTAAGTCCTCAGCAGTACAGAATACTTCACACATTATTCTCTTCGACATAGACAGAATGTTAACACCAAGTGGACAGAAGTTAAAGTGTCTGCAAATACTTTTCGTTAGCTTGAAAATAGTTTTATCTGAACCATCCAAACCTTCGAACTTCACTATATGGTTGTAGTTTCTGATGGCATATCTTATAGCATCTTTGTCATTTACTATGGTTATTTTTGACTCAATAGGAGATAGAATAGTTTTGCCATAAATACTGTTCAGAATGAGCTTTATATTTTCTTGCAAAGGATTTCCTTCTTTCTTATACTTTAACCTTAACTCAAACAACTTCTTTACTTCATCTCTTATTCTAATATCTCTGTTTCCATCGTAATAGTATCCTTGCAACACTTCACATTTGACACCTTGATATTTTATGAGGTCTTGTAATGTTATATGGTCAACATACATTAAACAGCAAGTGTTTGAACTTCTGGGAACATTAAGTTCTGGATTTAGTTCAGGGTCACAAACTATTAAAGGAAAGTGTCTATGTATTCCAATCTCTGTTATCTTAATGAGAACAAAGAAGCCAGACATAAACTTTTCACCAATGGGTTCCTTTTGGTCGTCATCAAATAAATGTCTCATGAGATACTCTGTGCTTAACATTTCTTTCTTCATAACCTTTGGAATACCTTCTAAAGTATAAAGTCTTGCTATAGCGGATGGATATAATGAAACAGCGTCGAAATCAGCAATGAGTTTCTTTTCGCTCTTTTGTTTAATGTTATCTGACAACATACATCTTCCACCTTGAATACATCTCGAAATAAATTCTCTTGGTTTATTTGAGAGGTCATATAAATTTCCATTCGGGAAGTACACTCTGTTCTCAAACAATTTGTTAGCAATAGAACAAATACTAACGTAGTCATAAACGTTTAAATCAAATTCTTTCAATATGTCATTGCGGAACTTAACAAAACCTTCTCTTAAAATTCTTACATCTTGTTTGCAATAAAATGTGCTATACTTTTCTAAGTCGAAGTGGTTCTCATCTATTCTGCAACCTTTGATGGAATCTATGTTCTTCATGAACGTATCTGCATCCGGAAACTTACATGCTTCAGAAATGACACCAGTTCTGTTGTCATTTGCTAACAAAACACTGCTGTAGTAGTTATATGGAAATACTTCTTTCGGTCCTGTTTGTAAGTTAAACATAGCAGGAAATAGTTTAAGCTTCTTATTTATAACACTGTAAGAGTCTTTTATAATAATTGCCCTTCCTTTATATAAGCCAGTTATTTGCATTGTTCGTGAACCTTTAATGATGGGAGTTCCTTTCACTTCTGTCATGTGTCTTAAGATGAAGTTTATATCATAACTGAGGTTATGGAAATATATTAAACTCTTGTCAGGAAGTCGTTCCAAAAATTCTGTTGCACAGTTCTGACCCCAAATGCTTTCACTCACTGAACCATCTTCATTGTCGTAACATATGTTAAAAGCTTTATGAAAGCCATCTGTACTACACTCAAAGTCAGCAAAGAAAACGTGCTCAGGAATGAACTTGCACTTATTTTTATTTACTTCTTTTGACTCTGCTTTCTTCTTCAGTTGTACACAATACTTTGGAGCATATGTCAAATCTTTAAATGGTGCAAGGTTCTGTTTATATAAGTCAGTCGTATATGTGAAAAGTTCTCCATAAGAAATAGGTTCGAAATATTTGCACTCCCACAATGTTTTCATAACATCCATACGGTGTTGTTCTATCATAACGAACTACATATTTATTCTCTCTCTTTGTAATATATTTCATCTGTTCTCAATGTTCATTCCACCACAAGCTTTGAGAATTTCTATATAGTTGCGAATGAAATATGTTGTCATTGGTAATCTTTCGTTTAGCATGTAGTGGTCTTCAACAAGAAGTAAGTCAATAGTTCGAACAGTTTCACATTCTTTTGGTATGTATCTCTTTATTTCATTATGTCTTGAGTCATTGAAATAACCAATGGTAACATTAAATGCTATACCTGTTGCGTCAGAAATTTCTTGTACTTTACTTTGAGGAAAGTCTCTAACACGAATGACTTCTCTCATGTGGTCAATAGTCTCTCCATCTACTCCAGCCTGAATGCAAGCATAAACGAAACAATTGTCTTCTGTCATAAGTGTTGCAGTTCTTTTGTTCAGTTCATTGAAGATTTGGTAGCGTTCAAGATTTATAGGTAATGTGCAAAGATACTTCCAGAACTGACCGCTTCTCTTCTTATAAAACTTCTTTTCACCATTATCTTTCCAAAAGCTTTCTATAAGTGCTGGGTTTCCTGTTTGCTTAAGAGCTTCCAAAATGGCTTTCTGGTCATTTGTCAGTGTGCTTTCATCTCTATATGGTCTCTTTTTTGGTTTGCCTTTCTTTACATCTGACATCGTTAAGCCTTCATATTCTGTTAAATCATACATCTTTATTTCGGTAAGATTCTTTATGTTTGTCAAGAAGAAGTCATAGTGCATTTTCAACAATACCTGCAGCATTTGCTTCTATCTCTGATATAAAGTTCTCCTTCAAGAGCTGATGTAGTAATGTGTTCCAATATTATTGAGGTTTAACGTAGAACATTCATACTTTCCACCAAGTTTATAACATACCATCCATCTCTGTTGTGAGTTTATTTTAATTTTCTCTAAGAGTCTCATGAAAACCTTACCGAAATGTTTTGTGTAAGTAGTCTCTGTTTGGTTCATCTAAAGCTTCGATGTTAAAGTCAATGAGTCTATTGCCTGACTTCACATTTCTCTTCCTATTCTCTTCATCTTTCTTTAACCATCTCTCACCTTCTTTTGGTTTGTCGTCAATGGAACGAATGACATCGTTAGCTTTGCGAACTTGTTCTATAGCGCTCTAAACATCTCTCTTCTCTGTTGTTTCAGTGTGTCGTCTCTTCTTCTTGTTTCACCAACGTTTGCATTTGTTATGTCAAACATCTTCTTGACGAACATCATGTGAAAGAGCTTTACGAGTATGACCAACGTTTGCATTTGTTATGTCAAACATTCTTGACGAACATCATTGAAAGAGCTTTACGAGTATGACCAACGTTTGCATTTGTTATGTCAAACATTTCTTGACGAACATCATGTGAAAGAGCTTTACGAGTATGACCAACGTTTGCATTTGTTATGTCAAACATTTCTTCTTCTTACTTCATGAGGTATTGAACGTCTATGATATAAGTCAATAGCAACGTCATTTAAAGGAAAGTTTTGTTATTAATGAATCATGAATTCTATCATAACTTATTGCACCATTATAGTCTTTAATGAAGTCAGCGAGTGCTTTTTGTTTGTTGCGTAATGCTTTGCAACATCTAGTTAGCTTCTGTAAGAAGTTTTTTATTTCCGAGTGTTCTAACTTAGACAACTTCCGATACATCTTTAGTAGGAAATAAAAAAAATATTTTTGAAAAAATTAGATTAGATTTTTTTTAAGTTATTTTTCAAAATAATTTAATATTTTTATTATAATGAAACACATGCAAGATTGCAAGTTCTTTTCATACAATGCTCTCGCTAATGCCATCAAGAATGAGTTCAATGGTGCTTCAAACGTTAATGTTATCTTTAACAAGAAGTTTGTGAAAGAATCTAAGTTTGGTCAGTATGTCAGACCATTAGCTATCGTCATTGACCGCAAACGTTATACTTCACAAGAGTTAGCAGTAGTTTTGAAACAAAAGAGTTTCTTCGTGAATGTCAAAGATACTCATTATACTGTTATAAAGAACTCTAACATTGACTTCTTCAGTATTGCTATGAATCTTTCCGAACAGAAAGAATATAAGAAGGTGAAACAAATGTGAAATATTATCCTTCATCTCTGAAGACAATAACGAACAAAGATGTTATACAGAAATTCTTACCAAAGGTTGAAGAAGCTTCAATTGACATTGACGAAGGAAGTGAAATGGTTGAAGAAATTGACCCTGAAGCTATTTAAGCAAAAATATATTTTGGTTAGTCTTCATATGGATATTTTACAACAATTCCCCAATGTATAAACTTTTCATACGCTTTTTCATAAGCTTTATATACCTTCAGAAATTTTGCATAATCTTTAGAAGCATTTAGATATTGTTTAAATGCTTTGTATGTCTTCATAAATTTTGCATAATCTTTTACATGCTGTTTCGTTCTCCTCTTCTGTCATGAGTTCCGAATATTCTAAATTCATGTTCTTTCATATGAGATAAAATTTTATAAAAAAAATAAAATTAGCTTAGATTTTCATTCTTCCTCTTTGAAGTTATCGAAATACTCTCTGTTATTTTTTCTTTCAGTAGCGGTAAGTCTTCTTTGAAGGTAAGAATTGTACAACCTTTAATATTATAGTGTGTTTGAGGTAACGTATCTTGAACTATTTGTTTCACATCTTCATTTGGGGTCATTGAAATCGGTAAGTTTTCGCGATAGAACCAATTTCTGTCAGATTTGTAAATCTTAGCAAGGTCGTAAAAGCTCTTGTTGTTTCTTCTAACTAAATGCAACATAACCATATCTCTGTCTTCTTCATTTTCCATCTCTTCAGTATAAATCATATACTTATAGTTCTTTTCCTTTCCTTTTGGTACCGAACGTGGTATTCTTTTCTGTATGCTTTTGTCTTTGGATTCAAGCTTGTTTCTCTAGCTCTTCACGTTCTTGTCTATGAATTTCGTCAAGAAGTCTGTAAACATGCCATGCATAACGAGGAGAAGCCCACATTGCAACAGCATTTACAAGAAGTCTATGTACATACCAACCTCTTAAATTTATTGGCAAATTTTTACGATTTTCATGTGTTTTATGCATGGCCGGAAAAGGTCGGTCTAGAGAAATTTCACTCAAAAGTTCTTGTGTGCTTTGGTTTCTGAACCAGTCGTCTGCGTGTTTGTGTCTGGAGCAAACATGCTGTCAAAATACTTTGCATTTGGTACATATCGTCTTTGACCGAACGAATGAGACGGAGTTGTTTGTTAAACTGTATGTACTCATATTCTTCATTTATGGCTTCATGAACTATAGCAGTTGTTGTGTTCTCTGATGTTGTCATTACTACTGTCTTTACATACAAAATAAAAAAATAAATAAAAATAAAATTAGCGTTATTTTTTCTGAGATAAACACTATTTCTTCACAACATTAAATTTTATCCTGTATGAAATGACTTTAAAAAGATTATTGACTGACTTCGAATACTATCTCATTGACGCACTGACAGACCCTCAAAACTGTGTTGAAAGTTCTTTAAGCTTTAAGATTGAAGGTACGGTACGATTTTGTCTTCACTTACGTATTGAAAGAATATGACCGTTATCATAACGAAGTGAATCAAACACTAATAAAATTTGTAGATAAAAAATTGGTTAACAATGAATATTTTAAACGTGAAGACCCAAACACTGCTGGAGATGATGAAGAATACAGACAAGCTATTGAAAAAAATAACGCAAGATTAGATGCAATAGAAAAGAATTTTAATGAATGTCTTACAAACACGTATGAATATCTTATGCGGTGGGAAGCTAGATGGAAATAAATTTACGTCAAATATGCAATTTATAAAATCTTATGTCGACAGGCTACGTAGCACAGTGGTCTAAGGTGGTGTTATGGAGGGGTCAGAGTCTGTGGTTCGAACCGCGACAGCGCCGTATTTTCTTATTTTCTTTGTTTGTCTTGTTTGTCGTGAATAAAAAGTGTCATAAAAGTGCTCTATCTTCCACGGGAATAAATAAAAATTTACTTTATTTCTTCTTTATTTCTTCTTTATTTCTTTGTTCCCGTGGAAGAAGGGTTTTGCTGTTTTTTCTCAGCCGAAATCAATGATTTTTTCATTTTTGGAATCCTTAGCGAATGAGGAATCTTTTCTCTCGTGGAAGCTTTGAACAAAAATATAATTTAGGTGAAGAGGTGAGATCTCACCTGTTTTTTCACCCAGTTTTTTCACCCCTTGAACTTTTTATAACATTCGGTCATAACTTCATCAATTTCATTTAAAATCACGATTTAAAAACTCATTGACTTCATCTTCAACCGTGTCATCTTGTAATAAGAATATTTTCTTTAGTTTCATGTCAACATCCCGAACAGCACAAAGGATAAAATCATATTCATTTCTTCCGTTAAACATACTTTTTCTTTCTCGTTCATCGTTAAATAAATTATTGAAAATATAAACAGCGGTGTAAAAGTTATGTACTGTGTTAAATGTTGAAGCTTCACCTATTTTAGATTTTAGGATTCTTTTAGTAAGTAAATTGTTATCGTTCTTTCTCTTTTCCTTATCGTTCATGTCGAATCTGTCGAACCACATATCCTGTATTTCATCGAATTTACGAACTATAGAATCCGTCATTTCCCTGGTTAATGAGGGGTAATCATTATTAATTTTTTCATATAATTTGTCCATATGATTTTCATCGACGTTTCCGGAAAGCATTTAATTAAAGCAAAAATAATGTTTAGGTGAAGAGGTGAGATCTCACCTGTTTTTTCACCTCTTTTTTCACCCCAGTTTTTTCACAAGCGTTTTACATGAATTGTACGATGTATATTTGAAATCCTAAACAATTTCGTAGCTTCTATTTCTTCTGTCAGTATGTCAAAAGTTTTAACAATACCGAAAGTCTCTTTATACTTCTTCTTGACGTCAGATAGAAGGAAATCTTCTGCTGTTGGATAGTTTTTGTTCAGAAATTCTAACATGTTCATTTTATCTTCTGCTGGCTTTTCTGCTTCTTTCTTTAAGTCTGCATAGTCGTTTCTCATTCTTTCTATCTCTTTGACTGAGTAGTTATATTTCCTAATTGCTGCCTTACATTTAGAACATTGCGGGTTCATTTTTGCGTTATACATTGAAATAAAACCAGCTAAAACAACTAAGGCGTCAATGGTTTTCTTCATCTCAAACATAGCGGGTCTTATTTGTTCGTTCCATACTTTGCCTCTTCTATCTTTATCTCTTATTTCCCAAACACATTTTGCAACTAATGAAACAAAGTTATCGTAAGTCTTAAACTCCTCAGATTTATATATGTCAGAAATGTTTTTATATACCATGTCGCAATCTTTGTCCATAACCTTATGGTTGCAATGAAAACCAAGGAATTCATAATTTACTTTACGTATGAACTTCTTTATTTCTACTGAGTCAGTTGGTTTCACTTCAATTTCGTCGAATTCAGGAATAGTGAGTTTTTGTTGTTGGATTTCAGGCAATTTGGGTAAATGGTCAATAATGTCCTGCATTTCATAAAGATATTCTTCATTTTCTTCATCTTTCGCACTACAGTCTAAATTACTTGTTAAAAGTTCTTGCTTTATCTTCTGGATTTCTGTTTCAAAAGTATATGAAGAAGGAATGAAGTTTTTCATCTCTACTAACATTGACGTAGGATTCATGACTAACGAGTTTGGTGCTGTTGTTGTGGACAGAGTCCCGCCGTTCGCGGCTTGAATTGTTGTTGTGCCGATTGTTGAAATCATATCTTTTATACAAAATAAAAAAATAAAAAAAATAAAACTAACTTTATTTTTTCTGTCTTAAGGAAATTCATGAAAATTCAAGAGGTTAGAAGTGAGGTGAAAAAACAGGTGAGATCTCACCTCTTCACCTAAATTATATTTTTTGGTGAATTCAATAAAAATAAATGGTTCATTTACTCACAATATTTTTTTACAAAACGACCCCAAACTTTTAACTTCTTTTCTGCAGCTTCAAATGCTATCTTAGCGAGTTCATATTCTCTAAATTCTCTCTTTAAATCTTCTTGTTCCCATTGGTCTAGTTCGTATGGAGAATCTCTATAACCATAACATATCTCACGTTCATGTTCTAATTGTTTTTTCACACATTTTCCCAACTTCTTCTTCGAACAAAGGTTTAGCATTCTCCACTGTAATCTTCGAGTTCTTCTTCATCTAACTTCTCATGAACTTTCTTGTCTATGGAGTCCATAATATCTTTGAATAAAATGCATACTTTACAGAGCACCATTCAGCAACAAAATGAACGAGGTCAGCATGTATGTAAATACCTTTGAATTCATTCATAACGCCCTTAGTAAGCTCATAAAATGCTTGTTTTGAGGTTGAGCCACTTTTGGCTCGACCGTATTCTTTCAACCAAAACTCAAGAATTTCCTGCATTTTAGCACTATTGAGAAATCTGTTTAAATGGTTTAACTTTCCTGCTTCTCTTGCCATCTTTGTTGCATTAATGTAACCATCCTTGTCTCTACGTAAGACTTCAATACCGTTATAAGTGCCTTTTGTGAATGTTTCACCATTAGATTTGTTCGTGAATGTTTTTGCTTCGACTGACATTTCTGTTCTTACATACAAAATAAAAAAATAAATAAAAATAAAACTAACTTTATTTTTTCTATCTTAAGGAAATTCATGAAAATTCACGAGAAAGCTAAAGCAATCTGAGCCGCTAAGCGGTGAGGGTGAAAAAACAGGTGAGATCTCACCTCTTCACCTAAAATATATTTTGTCTGATTTACATCCAACGAAAAAGTTTAGAAGAATTTTCTTATTCTTTCTGGCATATTTTTGTCTTTCCAGTACTCCCGCTCTAATGGTCCCAGATGTGTTGGCTTCGACTCTCTCAAGTTCTTAGATGGTATAACATCTTCAACGCCTCCTTCATATCTTACTTTATAAGTGTCATCGTTTATGTTGTAGCCAAGTATTTCAATAACCACTCCTCGCTTTGCTTCGTCAATGGTTTCAGCAAGTTTGCCATTACTACTTTCGACTAATTTATGTTGAGGATAAAACGCAATAGAGTCGTCGGCAGCTTTTATAAGATATCCATTACCTTGCGTAGAGTCTACGATATAATAATTTCGACTTAACCTTAAACGTTTCTTTGTCAACGGTTTGTCGTCAAGAACTACACGAACTTTTGTACCAGGAATGAGGGTAAATTGTGTTGAATTTCTGATATTTTGTGTTTGGCTTCGTTTCTTTTGTATATACTTTTCTTCTTGTTGTTGTGTCATTGAATTTGGTGTATGTCCTGTTGTAGAATGTGTTGAGGAATTATATACTTCGAGAAAATGTTTCATTGTTTCTTCGGTAAAGTCTCGCTCTTGGTTTAAATCTCTGAGCGTTCTTATGAAGCGGTTTATGATGCCGAGTATGTTATGGTTATGGTCTTCAGTAGTGTAGTGAGTTATGTTATGCTTAATGAGAAATTCTGTGATTTCATTGCTGAGGTATGCACTGTCTTGGTCTGATGTTAAAGTACTTGGGTTATGTTCTGCTACAAACTTTTGTAAAACTCTTAACACTTCACGAGTTCTTTTTTTTCATTGGATATGCATATGCTTTACGAGTGTTAACATTTATGAAGATGAGGAATGGTTTATGTCCTCCTTTTCTGCTTTGAATGAGAGTGTCAAATTGGTATGCGTCAGGAGTGTTGGAGTAAATTGGTAAAAAGTCGTAAGGGTTTATTTTTGTTTGATGTACAACATTTTTGTCAAAGAACCTTTTCACTTCAGCTCTGTTAGTAAATCCCCGACTCTTTGCAGCTTCATTGAACTTCTTAAATGACCTCCATGGATGTTGTTCGAATACTTCTTTCAAGCTCATTTATGTAAAGTTAAAGATTTTAACCAACTCGTATCCAAGCGTGCATTGTTATATAAGGAGGCATATAATCTTTTCCATTACCTGCTGGGTCTGTAATACCAGCTACAACATGTGTATGATTTCCTGCAGTTCCACAGAAAATACCTGTGCTTGAATCTACTGGGTCAGTTGAAATATCATATCTATGCATTCCCTGTCTATCCGAACCCGCTGCAAGATTTGTATAACCTCTTTTTGTTATTGAATGTGAATGGTTTCCTTCCACAGATGTTCTTCCACTGAACCTATGCATATGTGAAGGAAGGTTTTCAATACCTATTTTCTTTGAACCTCCCATCTTCATTGACTGCGTATTAGTGTAGAATGGAAAACTGTCAACTATTTCATACCATCTACCACCAAATAAAGTGTTTGGATTTATTGGATTCATAGACGTATAAACAGCTCCTATAGGATATATTAAATCATATATGCTCATAACTCTATAAACATATTCTAAAGAACTTATGTCATTAAATACCATTTGGAATGTATCTCCCGGATGAAATGTTGCATTTGTTCCACTTTTATAATGTAATGTTAGTTCAATAGAATTATCCAAGAAAAATTCAAAAGTATCTGGTTGAAGACCTCTAACAAATTCAAATGGAGTTGCTGGTTCACCATTTATAATTTCTGTTGTAAATGTCATTGTATCTGGTTTCGAAAATTTCTTTGTTAGTTCTGCATCCACATAAGTTTTATCTGCTTTCTTATCTAACATTGTTGGTAGTTCATGTGCTTCAAAGTTTCTGGCATGACTTTCAATGTTCCTGCAACTCTTATCTAAACTGTTAAGAGTATCTTTTACGCTTGTACTTGGATTTTCTAATGGTGCACTTGAACCAAGGTCAAAGTTCAATATTATGTCGTCTGCTCTAACAGTAGTGAAGGATTTATGTGTATGGTTCTTGTCAGCTTTACTGTCTAATGTAGCTTGAAGTTCATTTATATCGGAGATGTTGTGTTTATGAGATTTCAAAACTTTGTTCGTTGCTTCGAGTTCATCTTTGTCAGCTTTACTTTTAATAGCATCTTCAAACGTTATTTTTGACTTAACTCTCAAAGTAAATCTTGGTTCAACTAATACACCGTTAACATTGAAAGTAGAGGCATAAATTTCACCGGTATAACCAAATGCTTCTGGTGCTTTAGCTACATCATACTGTACAGTACAGCTTATGTCATAACCTTTAGCACGAATGTATTTATATCTTCTTTCATTAACATTTTTTGTCTTCGCTTCATCACTTCGTGTTAAATATCCATGGTAGTCCGTTATAATCTGTTCGTCTGAAGTTATATAATGAACATGGTTCTTGTCCGCTTTACTATTTAATGTAGCTTGAAGTTCATTTATATCGGAGATGTTGTGTTTATGAGATTTCAAAACTTTGTTCATTGCGTCAAGTTCATTTTTATCTGTTTTACTATTTAATGTAGCTTGAAGTTCATTTATATCGGAGATATTGTGTTTATGTTCTTTATCTGCTTTTTCGGCTAATTTCTCTTCTATCTCATTTATTTCAAGTTCATGCCTACCACCACCTCCCGAAGAAGTATTTTTCTTCAGCTCTTGAAGAACGTCCACTTCGCCATCTTTGGTGTCAATAATGAGACTTTGAGTTAAAACCTTTCCTGTCTTAATGGATGTTTGTAAAACTTCTTCTTCACCGTGTTCGGGGTCATGGTCGTCATCATATCTTGTGAAATCAGAGATGTTGTCATACATTAAGCATATCTGTCTCAAAAGTTCTGCTATTTGAAACTGGAACGAAAGATATACAGAACTTTCATCATCTCCTAAAGTCAAGTCTGCTCTCTTAAGTATTTCTTGAATGTATGCAATGAGAACAGAGTACCTTGGAAAATATTCGAACAATATTTCATTAGCTGTTGGTTTTGGTGGTTCTTCTGGAGTTTCTGTTGTTTCAGTTCCTTCTGTTGGAGTTTCTGCATCTCTTGACTTCAATGCTCTTGCTCTCAAAGACCTAAATGTTAGAGCACCAGGTTTTACAAAGGACTTTATAAATGCTTTAATAGTTCCTGGTAAGTTATTGTTAGCATTAAGTAAGTTCCTTATGCTTCCATCATGTACGTCCATAGCACTATGTAAAAAATCTATACTTTTCTTGTAGTCAGCAATAGACTGACTGTGATTTTTTAAAGATTTGTCAATACCTTTAAGCCAATCTTCATGCATGTCTGATACTGAGCCAAGAATATCATTTGCTTCCTTTAGTGTATTTTGTGCTTGTCGTAAAGTATCCAATCCCGTACGTGCATTGTTTGCTATACGTCTTACAGTATCTATTTGACTCCTTGTTTCTTGCATCCAACCAGATAAAGTTTTAATAGTATCCGAACCATTTGAAATGAAGTTCAAAGCATTTTTAACGTCATTTAAAACTTCTTCCACCAAGTACCGCCCATATCTTTCCGATTTGGTATTGAAGAACTCCATATGAAGCAGCTGTTAAACCAGTATTTATAAGGTCCCATATCCATGATTTAGCAGTTTTTCCATCCTTTCCATCCTTTCCATCCAAACCGTTTTCGCCTTGAGGTCCTTGTATTCCTTGTATTCCTTGTATTCCTTGTATTCCTTGAGGTCCTTGAGGTCCGGTGTCACCCTTCTCTCCTTTCAGTTCATCTTTATGTTCGTTATAATATTCTAATGTCATAAGGTGTACATCATTACTGCTACCAGCAACGCCAAGAATTTGTTTCTCATTCATGACTAAATTCTTTAGGCATTTAATGTTGTCGTCAAATCGAAAGCTCTTTAACAATTCAATGAGAACACTTAATACTTTCACTAATGAGGCATCTACTGTAGAATTTATATATTGCACCGTTCCATCATTTATGATAGGAACCTTGCTTGTTGTAATGAATGGGTCATAAGTGTTAAAAGTATCGAAATCAATGACTTTTTTAGTTTTTCCATCGTCAATGACTAAATCATTGCCTTCAATGGTTAAAGTTGAGTTTTCGTTTACTAGTTCATGTGCTCTTCTTGCTTCATTTGTTTCATACGCATATGCAGCAATAGTCATATTTTAATGAGAATAAAATGTTGTTCTATTTGCAAAGTACAGACCCAAACGAATACGGAATAGTAAAGCTTCAAACAAACTTAGGTCTACAGAATGAAGCACTTGCTTTCAGAGTTGTTGACTTCAATACTATCGCAACTTTTGTCATAACAGATGAAACAGATTTCATGGAGTTTGAAATAGATGGAAAGAAGCACGAAATAAGATTTCACAATAATGTAGAATATAAGATGGAAACATTAGCTGGAGTGTTAAATGCTCTCATAAATACTACAATAAACAAGGATAACGAAGAAAACTTAATGAATGTTAAACTTATTGCAGGAGTTTTGAAGTTCAGTTATGTGAAGGAGTTTAAGATAACACGAATGAGTCATAGAGTTCAATTGCTTCTGGGAGCATACCATATGACATTTCCTTTGAAAAGTGTTGACAAAACGATTGAGATGAAATCTGTTCCATACGTATGTTATGGTAATTGTTTGTACATTGAGTCTAAAATAGCTAATGTCACAGGTATTTCAGGAGTTAATAGTAAAGGTTCAGTAGAATATAAATCTTTCTGTTATGCAGTCAATTCAATGTTCATTCCAAACGTTCCTGTCATAGCAACTCATTTAGGTAAATGGATTCGCATTAGTCCTCATAATTTGAAAGACATGCAATTCAGACTTGTTGACTTTCAAGGCGAGCCTGTAGAACTGAAGGCACCAGTGCGAATGACTGTTGAAGTTGACTTTTTAGAAAATATTAAATGCAACAGCTTACAAGAGAACTCAGAGCTAAAAATATAAAGTATGAATGTTATGTATTAGGTCATGAACTTTGGTTGTTGCTGTTTGATGAAACAAATGAGTTAGTTATGTCAGTCAAGAGAACAGAAAAAGGCGTCAAAGGCGCCGAGCGCAAAGCGCTATATTGTGTTAGTGAAAACTGCACCAAGTCAATAAGATTAGGTTTGCATTATGAAGATGAGTTCGATACTGTTGAAGAAGTTTTGGATAGATATTACAAATTGCTTTAATTTACTAAAACATATTTCAAGCAAAGTTTATATTCTGTTGAAAGTTTTGTATACTCGTTCGAATATTTATACTTAAACTCAACTCCTGTAGTTCCTGGTGTTTCAATGATGCGGATGTTACCTATTTTCATGAATGGTGGCGTTTGACCACAGCATTCGATTTCAGGGTCGAGATAGTCAATGACACATTGCTTTCCTGTTATTCGTGAGATAACATTTTCAAGGTCCTCCTTTGTTAGAATTATTTGGTTCTTGCTTATAAGATTTGTCAAAAGCTTCTTATCGTCTTTGAGTAAAATTGTTTGGTATAACTGAAGAAGGTAATGGTCTACGTTATCTGAAGGATTTG